ATCGCAGAGAGACACGGGATTGGCTGAGGCCAGGTGACCCAACATGTCTGCGCCCTAATCCGACGCCACACCACACCACATCACAGCTGCACTACGGCTACACTTGTAACAAGTTATCGAAAATTTATTATTCTGCGTTATTTCAATGGATTCTTTTTCTCAAGAGTTTGAAAGCGCTGTATTAAGACACCATGTAGATTCCTAATAAATTTTAACTTAATCATTTAGACCACTGTGCTAGCCGTCGAACGGAAACAATGTGAAGATATTATTTTAAAATTTCGAAATGCTGCTCAGCCTTATGAGATTTGCAAGCATATTCTTGGTGAGTTTTATGTTATTACTGTCTGGTTGTTGTTATGTTTGTTGTGTTATTTGCAAAAGTAGCCTTTATAGTTTCTATCGATCGGGGTTCTTGTCTTATAGTCACGCATCTTACAAATTGACCGTAACTTATGCTTATTTTATTCCATTATCGTTTTTAATGTTCAATCATGCCATATGTATTACGATCCTAACTAAGTTGTTGCACAGCAAATGCTAAAAAATATCCCTTTTTGCCGTTTTCTTTATTCCGCGTCACTTGTGTTCAGTAATTTTTATTAGCTTGACTTATTTGCCCGCATTTTTTTTATTTTTTTGCATCAATTTTTCCCCACCAAAAATTTGTTACTGTGGTTTCTTGAGTTTCGTGGGGCTTTGTAGTTGTTTCCCTTGAATTCTTGATCGATGAAATTGTGTGGGGCTACAGAATTCTATATGTTCCAACAGGCTCCTCTAGTTACTTGACTTATTTTCATCATTGTCAGCTGGAATTAATTAATGAAGTTGATGTCACTGAAACTTCGTTTTTCTTCTTTGAATATCTTTGTCTAATTTTTTACGAGTACCAGTGCTTTTATGTCTAGAGGGAATGCATAGGTATTTCAATATTGTATTTTTTCGGATGTCATATCTATCATATATTCTGCTTTTTCCGACTCTTGAGATTAAACTCGGGTTGCCAATGACGTTTTATGATTGTTTGATGACGTGCTTAAAAGGTTACGATGATGAAAAAGTGCATTATTCCAGTAATTGATGTGTAATCTTGTTTGGTGACCTTCTTCCACCTCTAAGTGAGCTTGAGACTTTTGTGCCAATTGTCTTTTTGCTCTAACAATATGGCAACCATTCGAAACATTTTGCAATCCCAGAAGAATCTGTTCGTGGTCTTCAAGTTTATCCAGATTTTCACCCAAGCGTTCAGTTTTTTTATTGTGGGTGCCCCCGGGAGTCGGTAGCCACTGATTGTCTAACTTTGACAACTGGCTTCATGCCTGTAACTCAAGAGTAGTGCTTCATTAAATTCTCAGACTTGTTGTTGAAAGTTCGTAGTGATGTATTTTATTGTTCATGAATCCCGATTCTTCACGCAAACCAGGCAATCACCCTATTCCAGTATACGATGCTCAAGCAGCCAAATTCTCCAAAATTTTCATGAACGACAGTTCCTGTCGTTTTTAGACTTCTTGCTAGAATTTACATTGCATAACGATTATCTTCGGAGATAGTCGTCACCAGTATTCCCAAAGGCCTTTCAAACTGGCTAAACCTACCCTCACTTTTGTGATAGGAACTTCGCGTAACCCGCAAGTGCTTTATGAGGTCGGCAAATGTCTTTCAAATGCTGTAATCCGAGAGTGGAGCACAGTGCTTTGTCCCGACAACCAGCTTAACTCAGATTCCATGGTTGAGTCTATGCCTTACCATCTCTTATGCTTCCTTCTTCGGTGGGTTGCTTCTTCAGGACATGAGGTACGTGCTAATACCGCCTTGTTAAAATTTACTCCAGGAAATCGGTCACCTTCTCCCACAACCTCATGTTTATTGGCGATACTTTTCACTTGGTTTTTTATTAATCACATACAATGTGTTCTAGCTTACTACGATGTTAAGCTTTACGAGAAATTTAAATATGGCCTGTTTTTTTGTGCAAATGGACAGCACTCTTCTTCATTGCTTCAGTTAAGGATTTTTCTGGGCACGACTGGATATGCCGTTGACTTCACCAAAATAGAAGTCCTATATAATCTTATGAAACCCCATTTGAATCTGAAAGTTTCTGCTTCGAATCAACTTAGATTTATTTAAAAAATCTCGAGGCTCTCCGTCCTCAGTATTTTGGTAGTCAAACATTACAGATGCTTCCTTTAAAAATTGACCTCACTTTGAATTACTTGTATTTCGACATTAGTTTTTTTTGCAGGACAATGCAATCGAATTTTTACATTCCTGAAATCGTTAAGTTTTTGGTCAAGCATTAGTAGAATTGTCATGTCGTCATAAGTGTTGTGACCAACGGCTTTTGTGGCAATTGAGAGCTTACTGGTGTGCTAGTGTCATGGATTCAGTAAATGCCTCTAGACAGACTATGTTGCGTTGGTTCACGTCGATAATCACGGCTTTTCCTGACAAGGAGTGGTTAAGTGTTTGTGTGGTAGGGCTGTATGTTGGTCAACTGAAGCACGTATGAATATAGGCGTTGTCAGTTGACACTCCGAATTTTATGTGACCACGGTAACTTGTAGCAAAAAACATGGTATATACAACGCTTTCAGTGAACTATCCCTAACAACGACTCTCCGCTTCGTCGGGAAGCGGTTTCACATTCGCAAAAGTTGTGTTAGTTTCAAACCCTGCGACATCATTGGATGTTGTGTGAATAACGATCAACCCTAGGATATGCACACAGACAAGTAAGTTCCCGTGGTGATTTTTCGATTTCCCGTCCGCAGGTGGCTGCGTTCGCACGACGGAGCGTCCTCGGTGCGGTCACGGCGATCGTGAAACGCGCAGCCGCCGCACAGGCCGAGTCCCACGTCGCCGGCCTGTCGCTGGGGGGGTCGGCACACGCACGCGGCCCGCCCACCCTCACGTGGCCACCCTTCAGTAACCCCGGGCCCCCCAACTGTCTCGTTACCTTCTTTTTAGACGAACTCAGCCACTTACTAGCCCCGGTTTCAGCCTCCTACCAGGTGAGTCTTCACTTGTATTTCGCTTGGCTAATGCTCCCCAGGGAAGTCTTCTGGCGCGAAGTACCCGCAATAGCAATGTGTGCGATTTCGAGCCCTTTGGTTGGTCCACAGTAGCTTTGCTCTCTTCTTAACTCGGCTTTACCGATGTTGGTGAAATTGGATGCATTATGATCTCGACAATCATCTCTCTAGGGGTGGCCCCATCAGAGTTGTCCTTGAGGGGTCAGGTCAAGTCCCCAAGATGCCACTTATTCCTCTTTAATGTCAGTGGGAGAAGAACCCTGCCAACTGTCGTAACCTAATTAATGTGCTTGTATTAAGGCGTTGCGTGAAGTCGAGTGCCGGAGGTTGTGTCGTAACACGTCTGCCTTTGTTCGTCTTGGAAACGATGACCAAACCGCTGAAAAGTTCGCAAACCTGGACATGGACGTGAATCCTCGCAGTCCACTGTTTTAATCCTGACGAGTTACCCATAAAGTCAGGTTTTTTTAAAGGAAACATTTATTTTGGCCGCCGGAATCGAATGGGGTGCAGCACACGATAGTTGCATGCGTCTTCACTTACTTTCTACCATATGGAAATTGTGCTCCATGTTACAGTTTTCTTGTGCTGCGCCTTTAAGTAGTCATTGCAGCTTATCGGTTTTGCCATTGTGGATTTAATTAGGTGAATTGGGGCTCAGACAATCCCATCACTTAAATCGTAGATAATTGGTCCAAGTGAGAAGGCCAAATTTTTATTAATTGTGTGAACGACAAATGAACACATCTGTTAGTGATCTGTGGTAGGTTTCGAAGTCAGCCCTAGAGGACCAGCAACGTGTAGGAGGTCATCTTTGTTGTAGCATGGCTGTCTTGATCAATGAGGAAACAGCAGTTGCGCCACGTGGGAAAAAACCATGTGAAAATTTACAGGAGTGTTAATCTCTGTTGTGCAATATGTATAAATTCGCGAGTTAGTTATGAAATCAGTTTTTATATGAAAACAGACCTCTCGTGAATCCGTGAACTTCAGCCTACATTTTAATGCCAGGGGTGAATGAATTGCGGTACTGGTTGCTAGCACATTGTCGAAGCAATAAGTTGGTAATTAGCGGCACTAGAGCCACATTTTCTTTCTGTACCTGGTAGCCATTGCAATTTGAAAATGCTGCGACCCCGCCTTTGCATCATTGAACGTCCTATCGCTATTTCTATTTGATTACTAGGTCACAATTTGTTGACGCGTGTTCGGTCCTCAAGCCTTTCCGCAAATACTCATTGCTTATTGAAGAAATCATATTTCTCATTCTGGTACCTAATAAACCAGTTTGTCTGTCTTACAGCAAGAATCCTCGCGTCTCTCCTTTGGCCTGGCGATTCTGTCCGCTTTCCTCGATGAAATGAACGATTCAGATCAGGATGCAGCTAGTTTGAACCTCTCCCTTGAATCTCACGTGTACCTGCAGGCCAGATTTCAGGCAATTTAACCCCGCTTACCTTTTTTCTTTCACTGCACCCCTTCAACTGCTCCAATCCATGCTCATTCGAATGCGCACAAGTCTGTGGGTAGTTGTGATATCTTTAATGTGCCAAGATGCAAGTTTTGTGCGACCCCAGTCCAGACAATCAGTCTGTTTGGCACTCCAGCACCAAGCGTAATGCAAATTAATGTCTGGACCATAGCTTTATTCACTACGGCTTCGGCCAATTACTCGATATCTAGGTATGTAACATTCACCATGTTGTGCTCTTTCTATTGCCTTTTGTTTTACTAATCTGCCTCAACTACTTGGCGTAATTACAGTGGACTGAAATTCGTGCGACACAACCCCAGGTAACACATTGTCAGTTTTGTAGGGTTCGCAGTTGTTTCTAGTCCCACATGTACGTCGATTTTGGCGTGTTCGCCAAGATACGGGGACTGAGGTAGTGCCTATATTCAGATTTTGTTGTGTCATCTTTGCAAAAAAATTTTACAATGCTTGTGATCAATTCGAGGTGTATTTCAAGTCGTCCCAATTCTACAGACGCCGAGATGTGTCGGCTGAATTTTCTGCTGTATGCTTTAGGCCTTTGAACTGCTGCAGATTTTCCAGATCCTCCTTCGCCTGGTGGAGAGTCTGATCAGGGTCCACGATTGGCCAACACCGAATCTCAACAATGACGAGACAACCTACCATCTGGTGCATTGCTTTGAGGTTATCACTTCGTGGAATTTTCTTCCTGAACACAGTGAGTTCCGAATTCACCGTCATGTCTAACAACAACCACGATGACCGTCTCTATTAAATCCGCATATTTAGTAAACTCAAAAATCGTGACAGGTATAACGGCACATGAGGTACTGCTCTCCTGGCCCCTCTTTAAACATCGGTCTCATCGTTTTGGTGCATTATCTACGGATGATATCCAGTTAATATTTGCTCATTATTGGAGTATACCTAGAGTTAGCGAATTTTTAAATGCCAGGCCAGTCGCCCTTAAATGCGTACTAAAGTAACAAAGAGGTGGAGGATGAACACGTTGGCAGTGTCTGGTTTGCACGTTGTGATACCATAAACGTGTATGTTTGTTATTTCTCGTAGTTCATACTGACTCTGATGTGAGTTTGGTACACTGTCTGACTACCTACGATGGCCATTGAAAAGTAAAGTAGTTTGATGTAACAACTGTGTCAAGTGGTAGCGGGCTTCGTTTAAGATAGATGCACATCATTATGGCTAGGTCGAAGCAGATGGTACACCTATTCGCCACGAAGGAAACCACGGGTGTACTTGGTTAACTGTGTTTGCCATGTGGAAGCGGATTAGGCAGTCCTGCTTGTTGACGACGCACGAATCGGCCATGGAAGATGAGTGTTTGAGGTCCGTCACCTAACCGGCTATATTGATAATTACTTCCTCCACCTCGTTTGTGTGGGATCAATCAAATTCCTCCTGACGGGATGATAGCAAATCACTCAACAGAAGGCGAGTTTGTGCGAAGTAGACTTTGGTAGTCCAGCTTGAAGTATTTAGCTGTTTTTCTGCCTTTTTTGTTGTCCTAATGCACTTCAACCCAGCAGCGAAAAGTCAGAAAGTAAAGCAAAATTTGCTTCGATGTTTTGTGTACTAAGCTACCTCTTGAGGTAATTATCTCCTTACTATATTAGCAGCTTCAATGACGCTTCCGTACTGCAGCTGGATCACGTTGCCCGTTTGAAGCTCATATTCCTTTCTTTTCTAGTAGTCGACTTCACCTGTTTGCGTCCTACGATGCGAAGAACCAGGAACTTTCGCCCATGTGATCGATGGGAGTGTGTTTTTGGCGTTAGGGGAATCTCTTTGACTCTGTCGCTTCTCCTCAAGGTTAGGCTCCACCACTTCTGTTAACCTTTAAGTTGCCCTGAGAGTTGTCGTGCCATGTTCCTTGTCTTGGAAACTGGTTGATTTAAGTTGCCTCATACACCGGTCAATTCAATTTTTATCATCGGCCATAATTCTTGATGCTGAAGACCAGGCGCCGAAAATAGTATCACCAATGCGAGTCACTAAGGCACCTTGACCCGTGGGGTTGGAGCAATACGATTTTTTCTCTGAGCTTCGCCCATTGCTTTTGCTTCCGTTTCAGTTGCACTCACACCTCCGATCAGTGCCGACTTTCAGCTGCCGCATCTTAACCTCGGTGGTGGCCCTCACCTCGCTCACCGGTCCCCTGGTTTCGGGCCACACCAACAGCCCGCTTGCCGAGCACGTCTCGATCTGCATGAGTGGTCTGGCTCGCTCGCTCACCCCCCTTGCAGCCGACCCACTCTCTGGCGTCACGGCGCTTCTGGTTTCGCAAACCGAACCACGCGCAGACGACCTCAACCTCTACGCCGAGGGTGTAGTGCCGTATTCGCGGTTAGCCGAAGTCGAAGCAGCCTTTCCGGTGTTTCCCTCGACTGGCTTCCACTCCTACGAGCTGCCTCTTTTGGCCGAGATGGGTGTGAATCTACTCCGGCGTCTGGTGGACGTTTGCACTGTGCTGGAGGGTTTCGCAGTGGGCATGGGATGGCCGACAACCGGCGGCGAGGATGTCCTTTCCCGCCTCTTTTTCTACCTCAGTGCAATGGATGCCTTTTTGGGGCTTGTCAAAAACATCCTTTTAAAGGTGCGTTCTTTGTCGCTTTGGATTAACGCTTGTGGAACACATATCGGTAATTTTTAACCTGAGGCTATTTATTGTGCTCAACCTTCAACCCGGGGCCTCTATGGGGTCATGTGCATTTATTAGGTGTATAACATAATTTGTACAGATTTTTCAGAAAATTTATTCAATATAAAAAAGGAGAACTAGGAAATTAATCTTGGAAATACCGTTCATTGTTTTCTATGCTCCTGCGCCATCTCTCAAGTAACGTACAAATGACGTCGCGAAAGAAACTTGCAGGCTTCGAGGCAACAAAATCATCGTCGAATTCACACGTCTGTCCACTAAGGCATGGTGCTGCATTGACCGGAACAAATGTTAGTAAGATGAAGCCAAGTGTGGTAGATATGCCGCGTGTGGGAAAACTTCCCATTCCAAGTTCAAGAGGGCCTTGTGAGTAGCGCGAGCAACTTGAGATGGTTGAGTATTGTCTAGCAGCAGCAGCAGCAGCAGTATGACGTGCCTGCTTCCTTGCTCAGTAAATGGCCTTTGCTGATCGCGTTTTTCTCTTGGTTTATTCACTTGTCGGCTGTGGAGTTGCGCAGTCACCATCTGGTCAGTTTCCAAGAGTTTGTAATCAAATACAACCTTAATGTCCCACCAGTTACATAGAAAAACTTTTTCTTCAAGTAAATGCGTTCAACACATGTGGGAATTAACTTCCAAGTTTTTGAATTTTCCAATTTGTCGGTGCAAACGCTTGAAAACAGCTGTTTGAGTGACTCCTAGCTGATCTGCAAGCTCTTGTTTCGTTTGTGTTAAGTCTTCTTTCTGTATAGCTTGTGATTCTGCATCTTCGAAGCTACTGTCCGGATTGCATCTGGCCACCAAGGTTGAAATTATCGATAATTTCCTGTTTCATAAGACGAAACGTTGGCACCAAGATCACTACAACTTGTTGTTGGAATCGTAAGCTCTGCTATTCTGAGCGGTTACGCAACCCACGTAAACTTGTCATTCGGTGTTCTGAAACCTTGCGTCCGATTCTTTCAAAATCACAAAAGAGCGCAAAAATAATCACGTAGTGCACGTAATCGGTCTATGTATGCGCGACCTACTGTTCTCGTTAAAAGGGTGCTATTGAAGGACCCGTGCCAGTTACGCCTGATTTCCTCGATCTTCTTCCAGTGCCTTCTACTCGAGGCTGGCGTAGGTGGCACAGATGGCGACGTGGACGTCGAGGATCAAGTGACAGCAGCTCACGAGGCCAGTGAACGCCTCTTCGCCTACCTCTCTGACATCAGTAACGTGGTTCCTCGATTCGCGTCCTCCGACTCCGCCATATCTTTCACCACGGGGCCAACTGCTGTTCGGGGTAAGTACATCTGGTTTCGTTGTAAGCATGCTCTGAATGGTTATTTAGTAAACAGTGTGTGTCGTTTTTGTTGTTGCTTCACGAGGATCCGTGTCGTTGCAAAGTCGGTTTAGTCTTTAATCGCTTCGTTCGAGTGGTAAACTGTGGCTGCACTGATCATCACACCAGTGTGTGTGTGTGTGTGTGTGTGTTTGGAGCCAATTAGGTGCTTCAGACAATAACATGTCTGCCTTTACTTGCCTTAGATCAGATGATGGAAGTACTCAAGCGTGCCTGTGTAAAGGTGCGCGCAAACTTTCAGAGGCATCAGCGCGAGTTAATTAAGGCTTACTTCTCCTCGCATTTGGCCGCGCCCATTGGCTTTCGCAAGGACTCGACTAACGGCGGCAGTGGAGGCGCGACGAATGAGGAATTCGACCTTGACATCGATGATGACGATCAAATGGCTTATGAGGTAGTGCCAACCTTCTTACTGCCTTCCGGCCTCTGCCCTTTTCACCAACGTTTTCCTCAGCACGTACCCACTGGCCAAATTATCTGCACTTTAGGATAGCCTCTTCACAATCGGCCAGTTTAGCAGTTCGGCCGAGGGGAACGCCATGGCCTCAGTTGTGGAGTTGTTGGTTGGTCTGTTGGAGGAGAGGGTGGTGCTCTTGGCAAACTCACCCGCCCCCGACAACTGCAACGTCACGCTGCTGGAGGACGTGCACTGGCTCCTGCTGTTCGTCGGCCACGTCCTCGTTACGGGCCCCTCCAAATTGGGCGCGTCTAAGGGTGCGCAGCCGGCCTGGGATTCGGACTTTTCGGTACGTGGACACCTTGCTCTTAACAAAACCCCCTACACAATCTGTCATGCCCTCCTGTACTTGTTTATCATGTTGAACCTTCAGTTTTTCCAGTGCTCTATAACTCCTACAAGATGAGTGTACGTTCGTTCTCGAGTGTACGTAGTATCGTTCTGAGATTAAGAAAACACTATCACCTTGTTTGTTGGTGTTATTTGTCCTCACATACCCTCTGCATTAATTTAATTTCGTGACAATTAGTGTGCTTTTTGTAGCATTTTTTTCAAAAAGTCGGGTGTAGCGGTAGAAAAGACGCATGCTAGACATTTGGTCCCACAAGTCTGCTCGATACCAGGACTTGACAATTTTAACTTAGTTTATATTGGTGCAGTTAATTTTTGGTGCAAGTTGTCGATTTTCATTGCACTAATTAGGCGAATTTGGATGAAATAGAAGGTAGCGCCTCAAAAACGGAAGTTTACAGATTGCTCACAAGCTGCAGCCCCCGTGATTATGTTTATGACCTGCCCTGTGTAGTCGATTAGGAAAGGCGTGTCAATTGGTGGTTTTCAGCGTCTCACATCCCTATGGTATCTGTATCAAGTCCCTGTTTGTTCGCTCTTAAAACCTAATTCTGAATGCTCAGATACCCAGTGCCGTGTGGTCGACGGGGCCCGAGACCTTCACGTCGGAGGAATTCGAGCGGTGCCATCAGTACTTAGTGAAGGCAACCGAAAATACGCCGTTCACGGGACCTCAGTCGGTGCCATCGTTGTTGCGGTAAGCACTCCCCAGCACTTTTGGCCATCTGTGTTAGCGCAGCCAACGTGAGTGAGCTGTAGCCTCAGAGCATTTTGCATTTACTCAATCAAACAACGGACCCTCTCTTTCTCATGCAAAATTCGCCGCATAGGCCGAAATCCACCCAAGAGACCTTTTCTAGATCCTTAAATCCCATAAACTTCGGTTTAAGCGTGCCAATTTGGAATAGTTTGAAACGGCCCCTCCAAACCGAATGTTTGTGCTGTTGATGAGGTTATATTCAGCAAAAAGATTTGATATTTGTTGACTAAAATGCAGTGCCAGATTTGTCAGTTGAGACTGCTCTTCTCTCAAATGTGTCTGCACGTCGGCGCCAGGCCTGTTCAACAGACTGTTGTTGTTTGGCATAGGTGGTGTTTACTTCCATGGCTTTATTCATCTTAAATACGATTTGTGTGTTGAGTTTAACGCATGTAAATTTTGAGCTCGTCTAATTTACTAACGATGGTTACACTCATCTTTAACTGCCTCTGGAAGCTATATTTGAGTAGTAATTATTGTGTCCTAGTTGGTCTAAATTTTAACACAAAACTAATAACCTACATGCAGTCGCAGACTTACGTGTTCAGTGGCATGAGCAAGGGCAACCACTTAGAGTCCTCATTTTCTGTCACGTTTATTTTGGAATCTCCCAGAACAAAGACCGGCGTTGTCTTCCTAAATTCGTCTACCAGGCTTTTTTGTATTCGTTCTCGAGTAACTACTCTTTTTCGTTCCTTTTTTGCAGACTTTTTGGGGTGCTCTTCAGGCTGTTGTCCCTGCAGGTGTCGAGCAGGATCGGTTCCGCTCAATTGACTGAGGATTCCCTGTGGGTGTTCGTACGCCTCACACTCACCTACTTCTCTTCCAACAATCCGAATGGACATCTGGAGGACTGTGAGGTGCCTTCCCTTTGCTTGTTTCGCTCTTACCAAAAGTGGTCGTTGTTGTAGGGGTGCTTAAAAACCATGGCTGTTAGAATCGACTCTTTGATGTCCCTCTCATCGGTTAACTGCATAGCTGTCACCCTTGTTAGCAATCACAAACTGGCCTTCGATGTCGGATTTACTGGTTATTCCGTGTGCATTAACACTTGGCGTCTAAACTGGGCTACTGACCAAATTGTTCCAGAACGTCCTTTCCTGATTCTGCTCTCATGAGGGCTTATGTAGGGGCTTTAGACGCGAGCCTGTGTGATGGACGGGGGGTGCATGTCTAACCCCATCCCATCACTGTATGCGTTTTCCCCTTTTGTTTCAGGTAGAATCTACGAATGAACAGCTGTCCCTCTTGCGAGCACTTCTTCGTCCCCCTACGAGTAATCACTACTCGGCGCCCGGATTTTCCTGTGCGGAGAACGTCACCTCGGCGCTCATTTTAGCCGCCCGACTAGCCATGTCTACGTGGCTGGGCGAGCCCAAGATCACCGCCATGGCTTCCTGCCTGTTGGCTGTAATCGCGAGGCACTCTCTTGTCTCGGCGTCTCTGAGGTACCTGTGTCGGTTCGTTTTCGTCAATAAAACAGTGCCTGAATCGTAGAATGTCAGTCCACTACCTGAAGCCTATCGCAGTCTCCTTGAGAACCTGTGTCGCCACCTATAGTAATGCGCACGTATGGACATCCCGGGGTTGTTGTGTTTCTGTGCCATGACCTGACATTATTTCCTGATATTGTCTCCATCTCGCTCAAACCTCAGGTAGCTATTCCTTCCTAAAACCACTCACCCATCATGATCACCCTTGTCTTCTTAATTGCAGCAAGGAAAACGCGAATCCGACGAGGTCTTGGATAGAGTTGTGCGGTCTGGTGTGCGGCCCCAATGCCACTGTGGACACCTGGCCCTCCCTGCTACCAGAGACGCTGACGGAGCTTGTTGACACCTGCGCGCGTGGTTGTTGGTGTCTGCGTGCGTCCACCTGCAGTGACGTCGGTGTCCACAATGGAAATAATGTGGTTAACCTCTTCTACCAGGTACGCTAAATACTGAATTTTCCGCTAACTGCGCTCATGATTACTACGTTGGCAGTAAGTGCATTAGCACTCGAATTGGCAGCTCCTACAGACTTCGGCGGCCGATAAAATCAATCACACTACGTTGTGTCAACGCTTTTTGTCATGGTGTGCTCGCTTAACCTGCCACAACTAAGCAAAGCATTGATGCTAATGCACTCCATTTTGCTGCGTTGAAGCCTCTCTGTGTGTGTGTGAAGTTTGTAGAAGAATTGCGGAGTCGCCTGAGTTGCCTGTTTGCCAGTGAGACACCGGGCGAGGGTGACGTCGACCCGTCGCTCAGCCTGGCACCTTGCCTTGCCGCCGTGGCGGGGCTGGCTCGGGCCTCGCGGTGGATCGTCACCAACGGGAGTCACTCACTGTCGTCGGCCCCTCCCGTCGAGGGCGATCTCATGGACTTCCTCTGGACCGGCACCTTCCTGCCCATCCTCCAAAACTGCTCTACTCGACTTCTTCAGGTGGGGTTTGAGGATATTACTTCTGCCTTGATGTACGTGTTTGATTGGTGCTCCTAACCGTGTGGCTGTTTGTGTGACCTGCAGCGTTACCACGTGTATCACGATTTCGTCGTGACCCTGGTGGCGTTATTCTCCGAGGTGGCCGACAACTGCCTCCTCTACCTCGCCAACTGCCCTGCCACTGTGACCCAGGAGGACGCGGCCACGGCTCGGCACTTCACGAACGGGGTGCGCCTCGACTTCCCTCTTCCATACACCGCCTCTACGCAGTTCTTCACTCTAACTGCCATTCTCTGCGCCCAGTATGCACAAACCAATTCGAGTACGTCTGTAGTGGTTTTTGTTTTAGCACTAACCTTACAGCCCTCTCGTTAACAGTCCGTAACAACCCGAGAAGAGTGGAACAAGAGGCGACTGAGAACACGACCGTTTATTGGTGTCGCATCAGCCAAGTGGTTTTGTGTGCGCATGAGCACACATGCGTAGCAGGCGACTGCTAACAGAAGCCAATAACAAATAGGGTGTCATTGGTACAGTCGGGCCAGCATACACGCATCACTCACGCGAGGTGGCTTTCTGTCCATTACACGTCTCGCACAAACAGAGGTGTTTAATGCCTCGTGAGGTTACTGGCGGTACACATTGCCGTTTCGTCTATTTCTTTGTACGTTCTCCTTCTGGGGTTATGACTGCGTGCGATCAGTTAGCACCTCGTCGCATCGAACAGTTGTTAATTAATGGTTCCGTGGTTGAAAATTTCGGCACCCAGGGAAATCGCTCGCAGTATGGGTGAGCAGGTTAGTGTGGACTTATCTAATCACATCCTGACTACTTACAACACGCAGATTTTGGGAACGCGTGGTTAGAATGCATAGTTTTCTGTACTTACTGTGTTCTAATCCGTTTAAACAAGCGAGCCTTCTCCCGTGGCACCCTACCTACGCAACTTTGACGTCCTTTCAACACCAAACGTCTATTGATTTGATGAAAAATTAGATTACTTGTATACTCTAGGCACGGGTTTCACTTTTAAGCGTTTTTCTGGTATCCCCTATACGAGTCTTTCCTGCTGAACTTCAGAAAAGGCAAAATTGATTAGGGCTTGGTTCTTCCATCAGGATTTGTGCTATTAATGTGTCACCAACATTTTTTGGACAAACTTAATATTAGCGAACTTGAGTGATTCTCTGAGTTTGCATTAAATTGACAACTTAGTGCAGCTGTCGGCTTTTGTAGTGCGTTAACCTGGATGGTTCAAAAATCGGTAACTTGATTTAGTAAATGCAAGTTTCAATCAAAGTTCTCTGAAATATACTGATCTACTCTCGCACATGGCAGCGTTTTCTGCTTCCTCTTCGGAATGACGCGTCCGTAATTTCGTTTCCCAGGGACACATTTTAGTTAAGCTATTCCGTTTTCTCGGTCCTGTGTACTAAGTAGACAAGTAGATTGGTTATTCACTGACAAGGCTACTGTCTTCTCTGCCTCTAAAGAAAAGATTGCGGCTAAATTCACTTCAAAAACAGCTGACGAGGAACGAGTGACTGAATTGCAGCATCTCTTCTCCCTCTTCCAATTCTTCCTCGGTCACGAGTTTGAACTGCGTCTTTGCGGGACCTCTTGTGATCGAGGAGGTCAAGCAGCTGATGAGGCCTCCGCGTCGGCGTTGACAACTGTGGACGTCACCCTCGTGTGCCTCGGCTTCGTCATGCCCCTTGTGTCGCACTCCTTGCTGGCCGTAAGTTGGTGATCTTTCGCATGAAAAGGAACGAATTCGTATTTGTCAAAAGCTCGGCTTCTTCTGTAACAAAGACATTATCTGGTAGTCGACACAGATACGGCGCTAGTATCACGGGAATTTCAAGCTTTCGGGCATGCAACTGTATTCGTTTTTCCGTTGATAATAAAACGCAGAAATCAAATCACGGTGCATCATTCGTATCTGAATGTGCTTTTCAGGTAGTGCATGCGTAAGACTCGTTGGTATCGTTATTCATTGTTGATTTAATCTGTCGAATTAATGCCTTAGCACAACGAGACGCCATACCTCCTGGTTTATCTGCTGTACAATATGTATCTTAGCTTGTTTCTGAACCACTTTACGGGATACATAGTGGCTGAGGAAAAGTGAACTTGTGTTTTCCTCTTTTAAATGTTAGCGTGTTTTCTATAACATTTGACGTTCCTGTTTCAAATATTCTGCATATAAAGCACGCACGTTTGAGTTTTATTAATTTGATGTTCACCTTTTTGAAAGGTTCCCGATGTGGCGTCGTCGTTTTACCACCTTCTGTCGTACGGCCTGGAATTGCGTCCCGAGGGCTTGCTTCATTTGGCCTCTGACCCGCAGAAGCAGAGTGTCGTGTTGTCCGATTTAGGTCGCATGCTTCGCCACGGTGTTTTCAACCTCGCCGACACCACGGTCAACATCAGCTCCCTCGAGGCTTTCACCTACCTCGCGGAGTTCTGTGCACGAGGGGGGGCGTTAGCCTCCATGCTTGTGGCTCAGCTGCCCTTGGGAAAGGATCTCTTGCGTGAGCTTCTTGGTTTGGTGACTCAGCCCGTCTTCTCTCGGCAGCTGGAAGACCCGCTGGCCTCCTGCCTGTTTGCTCTCGTTCAGCTCCACCCAGTAAGGCAGCTCTGGCGTGAAGGGTTGTCTTCGGCTCCCGTTTTGACGTGCGCTTTTCTTTCGCTTTTCAGACCGCCTTGGAGGAGGTTGCCACGGAGTGCGTAGCGCGTTGCCCGAACCCTGCCTCCCAGCATCGTCTTCGACAGGCCTTTATTGATTTGTCGAAGCCGTTTTCGGCCGCCACGTCTGCTGCCTCGAACCCGCGCAATTCCGATCGCATCAAACGCACAGAGTTTCAACAACAATTCCGCGCTTTTGTGCCCACCGTTCGTGCTTTCCTTTGCAGCTTCTAGCCCTCCCTCCCCCATCTCCCTTACTGCACAGCCACGCTCTACTTGTCTGTGCTTTCGTCGAAAATTACGTTTATCTAGCTTTCTTTACACCAGCCTTTATTCAACCACTCCTCTCTGTACAGATGTATTTCGACGTGAACTATTGATAAGTTAGTTGTACAAATTATTGCTCAAGAAGTTTTTGCTTCCTTTTTCGACGATTTGGCCTTCTGTTGCTTCCGCTACCGCTGGCAATCCTCCTAATTTGTTGTTTTGGCGGCTTTAGGGGTTCCTTATCAGTTTAAGGACATATTCAGCGCGATGCAACCTCCAAAATTGAATTTATTGGTTGAATTTGGATTGGTCGAGTGGCAGAATTGACCCACTGGGGTGCGTTAGGGGCTAATGCAAGGATCGGAATTCGGCCAACCGAAGCCTCCTAATCACCCAACTGATCGCTACCATCACGGTGATTTGAGCTTGGTCTGGTTGTGCATTCTTGTGTGTTACAAGCCAGGCTGGTACTAAGACAGATGGGGCGATTGAGTGATCTCCACCATGGGTTATGCTGCTGACCAACATGTTGATCCCGTCCTGTGTGACACGTTTTTAGCTCGCTCCAGTGTTAAATGGCAGAAGACGTAAAATGCCTGGTGGCATAATCTTTGTTCAGTGTGACATATAAGCCAGTCTGAACACCCACACGACTTCCGCCTTGGCTTTGATCCTTTGGTTCACACAGTAGAACCTTCCGCACAAGCCAGCCTTCTCTTATTATGGGAGGCATTCGACGTGCCAACCAGTGGGTACCATTCATTTACTCGGGGATTTGCATCAACTCATCGGGAAAAACTCAGCAAAGTTTATCTGGATTCGACGCGTAGCGTCGCATGCATCTTGGGAGAATCCATGCATGTAGAATGGCATGGAACTTCTAAATTTGCCCATTAGGCACGTTTCAGAGGGGTGAAATTTTACCTTCATAGATGAACTTTAGACGACTTTAGGAAAATACAACTTCAAAATGAGTAAAAAGTATCTGGTCAACTTGGTACTTGCGATTATGTGGTCGTTCACACACACCGCACGGTTGTTTGTGCAAACCTGCCATCTGCTTTCTTCGGAAAATTTCCAGTTGTCTAGACTACAGTTAAACCACCTTAATCTCAGTAGTTCATCTCACCTGCTGGCCATCCATACCATGAAATTCATGCAATTCTTAAATGCGCGTTCCCCTTTGGTGAAATCCTTTGGTCGCTTACAACACAAATGGCATTTTCGTGGCCTTTATTTCCTACATTTAGCCATTAATTTCGAAGTCTTTCGTAATATGTGGGAAAGCAGGCGGTGTTAGTTTTTATCGGACACTAACTGAATCTGTGCCTTGCCAACAAAATTGTACACTAGTCTCGTTCATTCGCTTAATGATTGCGCGCTCACGTGCACTTCAAATGCATTTTTAGTGAATTCGGTATCTAATTCCCGCCATACTCTTGCTATCAGTGGTCTGACCTCTAGTCTTGGTTGAGTTTTCATTTCTTCAGAACGTCTTAGATTGAAGAAGGGTGGTTGAACCATTGGTATTGCAGACTTGGAACACTCCCTTCCGCACACTTTGCACTTCTGAACTTTGTCAGTTGTTCCGTTCCCAGGTCTATTTCAATAACCAAATATGTTTACTTTAGAAGATTCCACAAGGGAGTGACGGCTACTTTGTGGCACGTCAAATTCTCTCCACCACGTGGGCGTCCAATCGCACATTTTATGCTCCCCCGCCAGCGCCTTACGACTGCGAAGTAGCCGCTTTCTACAGTTTCGCAGATCCACCCAATGTTTCCAAGCCGAGCATTGCATTCGACAGTTTGCCGTGCCTTCGTGTTGGTGATCTTCCATCTCACGAAAATGAGCTCGTCACCAACGTAAAGATCTCCGCACCCTCTGTTTTTGTCGGCCCTGACTCTTCGCTGGTGATATGTCTTCCATTCAGCGACGTCCCTCCCGATTGCCAAATGGTTCTGGAGACATCCACTCCATGCGGTCATTCCTCGACGGCCACAGCGGCGGTCTCCAAGACGCACTACCTGATTGCCCTACTTCCACTGCCACGTACCTTTGAAGACATTCACCTTCGCATACGTGCCAATGATTGGTTCATTCATCTTCCTGTCCCTGTTAGCCTTGAAGTTGCTCATCCAGAGCATGAGTTGGAACCGCCGGTGGCCGCGATGACTCACCCCTGGGCACTGTGCTCGGCGCTAACCGCGAATGCAGAAAAGGTCCACGAGCACCTGACAACGCTATTTAGGTGCGACGTTCCCGTGGGGACGTGGGTCCCTGTTACCAACGGCATATTCGCGGGCTGCCGAGTTCGGCTGAGCGTGGATGTGGCTAGTGGTGGCATGCATCTCAAAATGCTCTCACCGTACGTTTCCTTGCCATTGGCTCATTTTCGCGTCCTAATTATTATTGGAAAACCGATAGACGATAATGACCATAGTTGAAGTTGTATTGTCTAACAACTTGAGGTCTTTTGTTTTTTAACGTTCTTCTGCTTATCGACACAATTATCTCCGTGTTGGTAGGAATTTTCGCGCTTTCGAATCGATCGTTTATCATAACTTTATCCGACCATAACCTTCCATCGACACGACACCTCAGCAACTGGTGTGCGAAGGTTGGCTTTTGTGCCAGCCGGTATAGCATGAGATCTCAGTGTATTCCGATCAATACTCTCATCCATGGAAGTACGTAAGCACATTTCGTGGAAGTGTGCGTCGTGCCACAGGTGTGCATTTTCTGGAACTAAAGCGAACACGTGGGCTACATTTGCAATCCGGTGTGCCTGTGAGGCTTAGTTTCGTCAGTGGTCAACTTAGCCAACTCCCAAATTGAGTGACAGTTAACATGCCTTCTAGTTGGCGACCAAATAACCTTGAATTGCTTGAGTAATTGAATGACAAGTAATGCTTTTTAGTATCTGAGTCCGTCGCCTGTGCCTACTCCCTTAAAATCAGCTGGCTGCTTGTACGGCCCCAACTGTCATCATATTTATTATATGTCGCCTTCAATTTGAAATGAGCTCTGTTACGTGGAACAAATTTATCTCTTTGAGAGCATTCATAAACCACCTTGATATTTGAGGGAAATCCAGAAACTATGCTTTCCAACCACCGCCATCTAGGCACTTGTAACAACCTGGTTTGCTGTTGTACCACCGACGGTGAATTTTAATGCCCTGTGTGTCTGCTACCCATGTTTAATCCCGAAAAGTAGTTCCGGCATTAATAGACCTGTGTGAGGATCTTACTTTCCATGGTGTAGTGATTTTGCGATCAATAATTTTTTTGTGCATTTAAGTGACCAAGTGGCCTAGGCCTTCCACAGGTGCGCGTTAGAGTTACCTCTGCATTTGTAGCAACGCAAACCTTCGACAGCTGCTTGATAACTACCTCAAAAGAGAAGGCTTAGTCGAAGAACGTCAACTTAAGGAAGCGGCTCAGGAAGCTCCAGTGGAGGATTTACGCAAGGCTCTCCTGGCTGAAGTCCGTCTCCTGAAGTCCGCGTTTTGCTCCTCGCTGATCGAAACCACACTGGCAGAACGCGTTCCCCTCGTGACCCCCTCAAGCATTGCCACGGCCTTGAACGCCGCCGACCTCATTTCGGATTGGCGGAACGTGGCCTCCGGTGCGGACATTGCTGTGAAGCCACCTGTTGACGTCGCGAATTGCGATGCCGTGTCCGCGGCATGCAAAACCACCGATTTTTGGGTGAAGCGTCTACTTTGCAGCCAGTCAGTTACAGAATAACGCTTTTATATTCGCGATTTTTGTAAGAGAGGTCAATTTGTTTCTCTAAGGTCCACATACAGCTAGCAACAAACACTCATATTTAAGTGAGTTTAAACAGAATTTGACACATTTTTTATAAATAGAATGTCGAAATGCCTTACATACTTAAAAGATCAACTTTTGTAAAATTACTACTGTTCCTGCCTCCTATTTTATTTTGAAAAAAACTTGAATGTTACGTGCATTCTTTTCCGCTACTTGCTAAGAATACGTGCCTTGTCGTCAACTTCCCTTAGACGCGGTGACGTGTGTATGACTGACACCAAGGTCTGTCCAAAGAAACTAACTGCGGATATAAACAGAATAATTGGATGTTACTTAATTCGTGTTTCTTGTCTTAAAAATCCCTCATTTGTGTGGGTAATTCTATCTCCTGACTTCGTGATAGGCAACCCATTTCGAAGTGAGGTATGTCAAGGCTCTATGTGTTGTTCCTAAATAGAGGCTGAAGAATCGGAGAGCTAAAAGTGGTATTTCTGACTCGTGAAAATCCTAAGGGACGAGCGTCAAAGAAACCACAGAATTTTTTAGTACGGATATTTGGTAGGGTAACTCCCTAAACACGAGCCGAGTGATTTGCTGTTTCACCTAATTGTTACACCACTGTGCTGTGAAACGCATCAAAGCCTCTTAATTTTTAACCATCGGAAGAGAGTACCCAACCAACGCGACCAAACCAATAACTTCATATACTACTGAAGGTTGCGTGAGCGTCTCCTCATGCACCCGAGCAAGAACTGTTGGGATGGTTTCTTGGACTCACTGGGTCTATTTTACCGGTACCCCTCCCTTAATTAATCGATAATCATTTGGATAAACATCTGCAATTTCACACTGGTTTAATTGATGCTTCTTGATTAACTAGTGAGTTGATCTACGACCTTTGAACAGGGGTGACACCTACGTACAAACACTGTTTGTCTATTTATCAGTCGAAATTGGTACAAGCACATTTACCCAATCCTCACTACTTCCAAGTACTCTGAAGGCACACCAGAACGACATATCATGTCTAAGCAGTGAGTAAACGCTTGTTTCTATCTCGCCGAACACAGAAGGTTATACGACTGTCGAAGAATATCAGTACGTGCACCACATCTGTGACGTGAGACCTCTGGCCTTCCCATCTGTCCTGGCAAGGCCAACGAATAGCGACATGAGTAGAGCGATGCAAAGCTATCTTGCGACGTGAGTTTTGCTCCAAGAAGTTGTGTTCACTTATTGGTCATAAGTAGCAAGTGCACTTGTATTATCACACAAAAAATACCATCAAAGAGAGATGACTGAAATATAAAAGACAGCGAAGCACAAAGTAATCGTCTGTAGGTAAACCGAATCACAGTCGTCATTAGCTCACCCTAACCACTGCGAATGAGCTAAAATATGTTGCGAGTATACGTAGAAAGGATGGAAGTAACTATCAGTGAACCTGATCAGTATGAAGGGTTGCTTGAGAAAGTTGCAAATGAGTTGGGCTGGTTGAGAGGAGGGTTATCAGGCGAGGAGTTAGGCGTCCCACCGGAGGTGCGTGGTTGCGTCTACTTTTGTATGAGGCCGAAGCCTACGAACGGTGAGGGCTTAGCCTGAAAAAGCAAGGTAAGGGCCAAATAAGCAAAAGGGCGGTGCAAAACAACCCTGACAAACCCAGCAAACAGACGAGTAAATAGAGGAATGGGGTCTCAAAATATCCTCACACACGGCACCGCGGCAAGAAGTGGATTCCGCTACCCTTACACCAATTATTGCACCTTGGTTTATCATCACAGTGAGGAGGTGGGTTCAAAATGAACTGTTGTAGCATTTTCCTGAATTCCGACGATTTTTAAAGTTCTCTTCCACAGCGCATCTGCCCTGAGCTACTATTGGTCAGTCTGTAAAGCTGAACTCCACCAACCACAATCAAGGAAAACCGGATTGGTGCAGTGGACATGTTGCACTCCCATGACACAGTGAAGGTTACAGGCAACTGACATGCACACGACGAGCATCTTACCGAACCGTCAGACCGAAAATTCCTGCACATTAACAAAAAAATTGTTACCGCTATGAAGCCGGAGTCTTTAGCACGCGCTTTAAAGCGACGTAATTATGCAAGCCGATGAATGATCAAAAAACAGAAATATGGTGTTACAGGAACGGACAAACATACACGCACTTGGAATGGACAGTGAGGCGATTTAGCAAGTGGGGACTGATCAAAAGGCCGTCTTATTTGCTAGTGCAGTGTCTAAATTTGCTTGGTTAGACAGTGAGCGTCGTCTTCTGAATGTCCGCAGTTTCCAGTTTAAGGGGTGACTCTAGCAGTGGTGCTTCAGCTGATGCAACAAGCAAGAGAATACGGATTGACAATGTGCGGGTGTGTGGTGGTAAGTCCCAAAGATATCATGCACTAAACGCGATGTGGCGCATTCCATGAACGCAAGGCGTGGTCTGGCGCCTCAATCAATTTTTCGGCAACAGTCGACAGCACAACGTGATGCTGTCGTCTTCTGAGCACGCTAAGGTCAGTGACACCGCCTTTAGATTCGACATGTGAAGATGAATAAACGACAAAAAAATGGGATTAAAACACGCACGCACACAACGACACAAAAAGCCACATTTGCTGGGACAATGCGCAAGCATAACACCGAGCAACAACTCGGGGACTAACCAGAGGACACACAAATCCCACTTGCACCGACTTGAAAAGGAAAAGTTAACAAAAGAACACAAATAAAATTCTTCCCAAAACAAATTATGGATAAATGGAGGCGGTGTTTTGCAGGTTTGGGTGATTTTGAACAGCTTAAATACGGAATTTACAGCAAGCAGGCTTTGCTTGCCACATGGCTGTCGGTTTGTTAGAGAAAGAGTGCAACGAAAAAAGGTCAACTCTACTAATTATTTAAAAGTAATGTTAACCTCGGGGTCAGGATTTTCTTTGCTGAAGAAACCAATCGGCGGCGGGTTGATAGGCAGAGGCTCACGCTTCGATTCCTCCCTATCATCATCCTCATCAACCTCACCTTGAAGAATAAGCTCGTTGATAACTCGTGCTTCGTGACGCGATATTATCACCAGGCGTTGGGGTATGTCGGGAATGAAGTTGGCTATCAATGAGGTGAGAGCCAGCGCCACGTTCTAAAACACGACAAGGATTTGCGTGAGCAAGCACACACACACAGACGCCACGATTTCCAACGGCAATTCACCTCGAAGACAAAAACGAACGCAAATTTGATCGCCAAAATCTGCCAATGCACTGGTGTGTAGGAGTACGGGTCAGGAGCGGATGGCGGTTCGCGGAAATCATTGTACCTGCAAAAGTATACAGGAAAACATACGAACTGAATCTTATGGAACAATTGTGGGGGGGGGGGCGCAACAAGTGGACAAGGAATTGAAACCAAAAAATTACACACAAAATGCAGTGACAGATTGTCATTGCGGCACGAAAAGTGCATTGTGCAGTGCGCAGGTGACACCACACCTACGGACCAAACAAGGCCCTGTTTGATTGTGAATCACCGGTTTTCGTTCAAACGCCCATAACGTCGTTTGGTGAAAACTATAAACATAAACACACACACACTGGCAGTTCGTTAATTCTCAACACCTCCCACCAACCAATCAGGCTCGTGTACAGGCTGGGCGCCAAAAACCCACGCAAAAAGCAACCAACGGCGGCATCGCTTGTATCCAAGTTGGCATTGCGCAATCAACCGCGTGCATTGCACGCGCGAGAAACACGAAATCGTGGAAGACCCGGTCCTAAGGGGATTGATGGTGGCGTCAACATTCCAAATGACAACTAACACTTGGCTCTGTCACGTCACGTTCTGCAAAGCCTTCGATGCGCTAGGCAAGTTGTCAGACTACTTAATCTCCAAGATGTGCCCGTGCATGCTACTTAAATCATGACAGGGGATTCGGTTGATGCCTTGCGTCCCGTTTAAGAAAAGGGGTATTTAGTGTGCACAACTCCAACCCACCGGCAGTAGGGGCTGTGTTTGGTGAGGTCGGTGTTTTGACCGGTGAGGTTGAAGCGATTGATGTCCATGTAGGAGAGCGTGAAGTTCAAGTAGCCGGTGAGGCTGTGGTCAGGCGAGTAGCACAGGGTGTAGGTGAGGCGAACGAGGAAGTCAGACGTGAAGGCAATCAAACAGGCCTGTAAACAAGACAACTCATCGACACTACCATGCAAACACGCGTAGACAGGGCATTACAAGTTCGCATTACGTACGTTGGTTCGAATAGCCAGACTTGAGACCACGGAGAGGATGCCAAACCAAATGCCTAGAAGGCGGGAAAAGAGCTGTTGGTGAATTTGTTATTAAAAAAATTGCAGAGGCGAAAAGAAACGACGCGAGGCCCTACCGATGCTCTTTTCTCGCATGATGACAGGTCGACGGAGAATAGCGAGGAATTTCTTTGCGTCGGTCCTCACCTCGAACATGTTGTTGAGAAGAGCAAATAGCGGCGCAAGAGGGAATGCGGGGACAAACATCGTTATGAATCCGTATTGGATGACTAGAGGAAGCAGAGAGAACTGACATTACGTGGGGGCTGCTCAAAGTCACTCTGAATCGTGAATCGTGTTTATTCACACCCCTTAATCCGGTCGCTCCACCTCAGACACAGGGTTCCCCTTTTCGCAGTATGTCGCCAGCCGCGGGAAGATTTATCTTGGATTATCCTCACACCTAGGTCTCGGTGTTATCGCATCTATGACGCACACATCCGAGGTATAACCCCACAGACAACACAACGACGCCAACGTGGTTAAGCTCTGAAGTAAACGGTTGTGTCCACGTCCTCTCCAATCTTTTTCTTCATCGCTGGTATCAAGGAAACGTAATCGGGCAAAGATTAATTACGTGACCCCGGCGTGGTTCAAGACCTCATGCTGGGGCCCACAACAGTACTATAAGAACCAGGAATAAGGCAGCCAAGATTTGGGTGTGTGAAGGCTAAAACACCAGAACAGCTGAAGAAATCGAAGGTAACAGAGCGCGTGCGTGCGCAGACTTACGCATTTCAAGGTACTCATCAAAGAGGGGCCGAGAGCCGCCGTCGAGGAGGGTGTAGTTGCTGCGGCAGTGGAAGAGGACGGATTCCTGGCGGGCAGCGGTGAGCAGCGCGCCCTCTGCCTCGGACGTCCAGCCCGCGGGTTCCGACTTCCCGGTTCCCAGGGAGCCGTAGCGACCGGCGGTCTCGTTTGCCTGGACCTTGGCGCGAGCCGCGTCCAGCTTCTTCGCGGCGCGACGGCGCGCGAGGTAGACGTTGATGACGCGCTTCAGCGGACTACAATGGCAAACCACGTGGAGCTGTACACGTGTGCAATGTGTCGCATTTTACGTGTCTCGATGCAAAATTAAATAAACCATCGCCCTAACTAAGAAGGACTTAAGTATCAGGCAAGATTTCGTATTAAGGCATAGAACCAGTATCATGGAAGACCTTTGGCAGTAAGTCAAGGTGCCACCGGTTCATGCCACTGCGTAGGAAGAGGAATTTTCGGCGGACAAAAGGCAGCCACCGCCTTTGAATGTCGAACCACTGCACCGTAGCCACCACAAAATGAAGGTCCTTTAAATTTTTGTAAGAGGCCATGACTAAGGGCATTAGCCAATAAAAGAGCACGATCCAAATCGACTTTTTAAACACCGTGGAGCTAAATGCCACGTTGTACAAAAAAGTAGGCAATTAAAATTGGAGCAATGTGAGCAGACTTACGGAAGGGTGTTTTCCGTGACGAAATTGAGGAATTGTTTGCCCACCATAACGATAGCCAATTGAATAAATAGTTGAAAGAGACAATTTCCGGAGTCGCACTACACAAAAGAGACAACGATGGAAGTCAAACGTAATGTTTGGTCAATGTGGCATCAATTTGCCAACACCCAACACGTATCCGACGTCCCCTAACCAAAAGGGAAACCCAATTTACCGAATACTACTTAAATACGAGTCCGGTGGACTTGCTTGACGCATTCTGTGGCATTACGTAGTGTAAGTTTACTGGCAGAGTCCCGACAATGTGCTGACATAAACTTGGCTGCAGAGCCTGGGCACTAGTGGGTGCACAGTCATTTCAATGGGTCAACACTGCCTTCACGCCCATGGCTAACTGACAAAAAGAAACAGGACAGCACGCACCCCTGAGGACTGAATGGGAATAGTTTTGTCGCCGGGTATGGCTGCGGTGGTTCCCTGGATGAAGGCGATGTAGAATATGGAGGAGTAGAAGTTGACGAACTGCAGCAGGTACAACTTCAGCGTCAGACTGTCATTGTACTCGGACTGGGTCCTGTGGTCCTCGATATTCGTCATGATGACCGCGACTCTGTCGTACACCTAGGTGTTAGAAAAAAACCCGATGAAGTGCCACAGTCGAGCAAATAGAGGTTGAGTTGCAAAAGTGTGGGAGTTGGTTGGAAGTGAGACTGATGCCTAGAGTAGACTAGAATTCAAGATACTCACCATTTTGAGGATGAAGATGCAAACCAAGTTAATGCACGAACTCGTGATGGTAGTGATCATTCCAGCAACCGAGCTTATTAGTGCATTGTCGCTTTGCAGGAGCATCACATTGACGACGAGCCGGTAGAAGATGACGCCGATTAGGAAAGCCAGGCAGAGCACCACCTGTGGAAGGCAAAGAGGCCACTGTTTAGGCACACCGAGTGCTGCAAAAAAGGATCCACTTGAGCGGCAGGCACATGAAACGCACCCCAAAGAGAACCGAGGCGTATGTGACAACCAGAACGGGAACTTTGCGACTCCAGAAGGGGATGACTGGCTCTTCGCGCTGTAAGTCGAGAAGAACAACTTGACAATCAGAGAAAGTGAATCAATGACAAATGAAAAAAATTATTATTAAGTGGCAGACGTATACACAGACATACAGCCAAGTTGAAATACGATACCCGCCTATGGATATTGAGAGGTCAATCGATGGAAGTGTTGTGAATCGTGTTTATTCACACCCCTTAGTCCGGTCGCTCCACCTCAGACGCAGGGTTCCCCTTTCCGCAGCATGTCCCCATTCGCACAGATCCCTCATTCTCACGACCATTTATCCTGGATTACCCTCACACCAAGGTCTCGTGTTAGCGCATGTATGACTCACACATCCGAGGTATAAATACACACGCGCAAACCCCACACACGACACAACGACACCAACGTGGTTGAGCTCGGAAGTGAACGGTTGTGTCCACATCCTCTCCGATCTTTTTCTTCATCGCGGGTATTAGGCAAGCGTAATCGGACCAGGGTTAATTCCGTGGCCCTGGCGTGGTTCAAGACCACGTGCTGGGGCCCACAGTAGAAGTGTTTCAGAATTAAGCATGAGAGAAAGGCAACCATTTGCCTACCCCGGTGATAGGATTGACGGCTCGAGGGAAGTTCTTTTTGTTGAGAAGAGCAAGAAACTCGGGCCTGGGTGGCTCGTCCACTGGCTCCAGATTTTGAACATTCCACCGGTGTGCAAGAACATTCTGGTAGCGTTTCCACTGCTCCATAAAGAGCGTTGCTGCAAGAATAAAGGCGGTGGATAAAATTTAATAACAGTGGCCCCGTGAATGCACGTTTGCCTACCTCCTTCTACCATGATGGGTACAAAGTCCGTCTTGTGTGCGCGACGTAGGTTACAAGCAATTTAGCCTTTAAGAGAACTTGAAGAACCACTTAAACAGGAAAAAATGCATGCCATTGGGGCTAATCGTTTGTTGTGCGAGTAATTCATGTGGTCAAGCAAGGAGAGCTTAAGTCAGCCATATCTTCTTCCAGGCAGTCAGTTGAAGCTGATTGGTTGCGGTTAGCAAGAAGGTGATTAGTTCAGATGGGTAAGGAAACCAGCCAAGGAGTGATTGGTGCTTTGGTTAAACAACTCAAAGTAGGCAGAATTTTCAAGAGCAGGCGCATTTGAGTGCCGGCCGAATGGCTGCCTAAATAATCTGTAAAATCACCCCCACAATAATGAAAACACGGATAGGCTGTTGGGAATTAATAAAATGGTAGAATATAGGGGTTCGCGTGGGGCTAGACGTACCCCAGAGTGCCATGAACACGGCGAAAAGCACTGTTCCCAAGTTATCCACGAGGTGGGTCATTTTGGCAGCGAAACAGGAGCTGTTGAGGAGCCAAAATTTACAGCCTTTGACGCTGCACGGCGGACACATAAGGAAATCACTCCCGTGCGTACAGACGTCCTCACTGGCAAGAGAGAAGGGAAGTTAGCGGAAAAACAACGACAAACCCGCGACCTTTCGTCGCCTTGGAGCAGGGTTTTCACTGCCGCGTCAAGTGATCAGATTATAGCCATCATGAAACAGGACTCTGACCTTTTACTTGGACAAATTGAAAAGTGAAAATATCTCGGACAAGCAGGTCGAACTACTTGGGCAGAGGCAACATGTCCTTGGCACTCAGCGCCGGATTAAGTAAATGGGAAATACTTGCAGGATTTGCGAACCATTGTACATGTATCCGTAAGTTTGTCCACATAAGTTATAATCACTGTATCTCGGTAGTTCAAAAGACACAAAGCAACTACGACTGCAATCGAGCGTCCTGATTTCCGTATTTTAATGTCCGGTCACTTATGAACCCGCATAACTTCTAATTTGGCTAGACAGGCGGGTAAGTATATTGCGAAACTTAAGTGTTTCATGTACAAATTATGTTGGCAACGTTTAGCGACAGTGAAGATTAGTTATGTGTGAAGGCTAATGCAAGCTTCAACTAAGTAGCCACAAAAGCTGCTTTAGCGGGGCCCCGATAGTGACTGAGATTGAGCATTTTCAACGACATTGATTCCAAAGCCTCGAATGCTTGCAGTTGCTGGACATTAGTGGTGATTCGCACCGGTGACGTCTCGATAACAGATACTACTTATAAATATAAGCCTAGTACTTACACATATTGGTCGTCGGCGATGTCGATAGCAGACAAACAGAACACAAGCAGACCGAAAATACCCACGGGGATGAGCCACGAGGTGTAGAGACCCAGCCAAGCAAAGTAGAAAGCCACCGACTCGCCAAAGTACAATCTAGAAACCAAAGGGGAAAACACGACTCGGTGACACAAACGCGATAATCACGTCGTAAGGGTAATGTTTGGTCAATGTAATTAAACCAATCACGTCAACGAATCCGTTTAGGGCCATCATCATCAATCAACCAATCACAAACAAGGCGCGTTGACGTGATTTATGGTACACACACACACACGCACACGCAAGCAGCCACGGTGTCCGCAAGCGTGGCAAAACAACCCATCTAATCAGAAACGCTCTAATAAAAGTGTAACAACCCGAAATCAACAAGAAGGGCAGTCAAAACAGTTTAAAAATTACTTTGGTTGGGCGATTCAGTTGTTTTCTTGGGATTTTCGAGCGCATATTTGCTAAATGGAAGTAGTCTTAATTATCTGCGGTTGGCAAATGAGCACTTGAGTGCAGTGAGTCAGTGAGTGTGACTCGCACAGAGGCGTTACAATTGACGTGACAGCCATGACGCAAACCCCCAACTACAACGTGGAAGTTACAGCGTTTTTCTGTGTGTGCTTGCGGGGCCATTGGTTTGAGTGCGTGATTAATGCACAGAAGGGGGACGCATGAGACGACGCAGCGCCACACCTTATTACAGCCTATCAGGAGGCACGATCGACTGGGTAGCGCCTGGCGGTGGCGTCTGAGGGGTGTCGTCATGTTCCACTTCAAAGGAGGTGGATTTCGAGTTAGGCTGGCACCGTTTTGTGTCGCACACAGAGTCGACAACATTCACACTCAATTAAGCGAGGAGCGAGGGCTGGCACTTTGCCACGAAAACGCGAACTAAAACCGCTCACAAGGCCATGGAATAAAGGTACTAATGCTGCCTAACAAGATTTGTTTTGTAGAGCTGAAATCCGTTTAGGTGGAAGTGTGTGTTACTCTGGTTTAGAGACGACGCAGACCAAAGCGACAGGCGGCGCGTGTGGGATGCGCGAGGAGAATAACAGGGGTCTTATCTAAGCGAGAGTCAGACAAGGAAAACACCACATGAGGTGGTGTGTACACAATTCTCAACCCTGGAAATCCGGTTGCATTTCTCAAACCCTGAAATACGGGTTTCCAATTGCGCAGTGCCTGTGCTCAAGCATAGCTAACACGCTCATTTTACTCTGTCCTATTTCAGTAAGATATACATTTTGAATGTACACGCCGTGAATTTGCGTCAAAACAGCTACTACTAATGCGACTACTAAATTGGATTTTAGTTGCAAAAATTGATTTTAATTGGTGAGGTTTTGGTGTTTATATTTTGCTTTTACAAAAATTGATTCGGGTTTTTTCAGCGCTGAGTCAAAAATGAGGATTTTAACTAAGCAAATTCAGACATCCTTGTTTGATGAATAACCCAATTAAGTAGCAGAGGAAATAAATTTGTGCTGACTGTTAGTAATGATGGATAGCCTTGGTGTGCCAACCACAGTATGAGTCGAAAGCGCTCAATGAAAATACATGCTTAAGAGGAGGTGTGGGAATACAACTTTGAAATATACTAGTAACAGGGAATTAGTAATATGTACGTTGTGAGTAGATAATGGTCACGTAGGCGTGCCTTAGGAAACATAGCCATGAATCTATCAAAGGTGTAGTTAATTCAACTTATAAAAAAACACTATGCAAATGAATTCAGACACTACAGGCCCACTAAATTACACGAAGAACCTACTCAAGCAGACCAAAATGACGGTTTAACATGGGATGAAGACGCACAAACAAGGCGGACTTTTAGGCGAAATTCGTCCTTTACTTTATCAACGTGTCGACGATAAGGCGTCTGAAGAGCGCTGAAATTGACTAAAGTAGTGTGAGCAATCGAGGTTTGGATTCTGCGAGACAGCAAATGCGCAGGGTGTGTGGTCAGCTTCTTACCCAACTTTCAGCCACAGACGTCATCCCATCAAATGCGCGCTTCAGTGCATCTCTCTACCTCCTCCTCCTCCTCTTTGCCCATTTCACTCGAATCGTCATTCAACGAATCCAAACAAACAGGCAAACGAAGCTAGAGACTGTGAAGTCGCAGACTACGCTCGTAAATCTACTGTTATTATTTTATTTGCAGACACACCTACCGCACTACTAATGCTCCAGATTTTCACAACGTTTTAATGGGGCCACGAAAATAACTCACGCCATTGGTTTAACTAAAGCAGACCCGATTACTTGAACAACTTTAGTTTACAGCCATTCAACTGTTGCTCCGATGCAACACCTTGATTCATTTCAATGAACACTACAAGTATTATTCAACCCAAGGCAATGACTTGGAATTAAACACATTTCCTTATTTTTTTAAGCACTTTGGCTCATGGCATAGGCGACCCAGTCAAACAATGCGACCACCCAGCACATCTTCTGCCAAGTGCAAAAAGGGCTTTAGATGTTATTCCTCCACAATTCGGCCAGTGCCGCCACCCTCCACCACAGGACTCCGCTGGAATCAGCCCAAGCGGGTCAAAGCCCACCACCAACCGGCGTTCCCACGCCCACAACGAGATTGCATTTCGGCTTGACCATTTGTGGACTGTCACGTGCCTTACCACAAACCTAAACACACAACAAACAGGCGCACATGCACTAAATACAACACAGGCCTGAGAACGCGTTCACAATGAGGCTAGTGGTGCTGATGATGCGCGTTGATTGGATGCACTAGAGGTGATCAGCTCGGCAGAAAAGTAAGGCCAATTTCTAAGGTAAATTGAAGACTTCGTAAGGCGGTAAAAACCACGCTAATCTAAGACAGCCAGAGAGAGAGAGAGGAGAGGAGAGGAGAGAAGAGGGTCTACGCGATGAATATCGCTGAAAGATGAACTAGGATGTCGAAGTAGTCTTATAAGAGACAGATGCTAGGATTTCAGACTGGCACTACTGATATCCCTTCCTAAGTTCGCACTATCCAGTGTAAGACAACTTCTTCCGCATGACCACAAAATGGGTGTCGGAGCATGAACCCGACCGAGTCCTGGGTCTTGTTGGAAGTAGCAAAGAAGCAACATCGGCTTACCTGACGTAGTCAAGTGGCTGGTACTTGAACATTTTCGTCAGACTTCCCCATTGGTCACAGAGCATTGTCCGCATATTGGTTTCCGGCCCGTACTTAGGCTAAATTTATGATAAAGCGGAAAAAGCAGGTGATTAGTGCAAACGCCGGCTTGGCGACACGGTGAAGGCACCGGTGGAGGTTGGTGAGGGAAGCAGACGGTTATACGCTAATTAGACAAGTGATGACAACGGCCACCTTACCGAAGCCCTACCATGAGATTGTGTTCAAGATAACTGTTTACACAATTGACAATTCCAATGGTGACTCATCATCATTATGTTAAAATATTAGCAGCAGGGCCGTTTCGCGAACCACTGACGAACGCGCACTAACTGGTTAGTGGGGGTAAACTTGGCTAGTTTAAGTGGGTAACAGCTGGTTTACGTAAGGGGAGGGGTTAGACAAGACTTTCATTTAAAAAAAATAGGTGAAAAGGCGTGTTACTGGTGAGGGGATAATCCGATATTTCAACCAAGCACAGCACACTCCTGCACGTCGCTGACTCATTTCAACAAAAACCCAAGCGCTTATCTCTGTGAAAATTCAGTGCTCATGGATTAAAGGCTACCTTGGCACCCCCACTCATCTAGAAAATCTTGTTTTAGGAAGGTGAATGTCAATGAAATCAAACTTCAAGCTTGGTGTGGACACAAATACTGGTTTTCAAGGATTTTAATAGTCCTGCAACCTAGCCACTCTGACAGTTAATCACAGCTATTAAAGTGAAGAACATTTAACAACTACTTGCGTGACTAGTGCCACAAAGGAACCGATCGACCAGTAAGAATGAGACGATACCTGCCAAATGCGTGCAGAGCATTTCTGTGCGTCATCACTGACACCACGCATGTGAGACAAATTTCCGGTTGGGGTAAATCGTTCAAAGTGTGAGCTAGCTACAAGCGATGGAGGAATCGAATGGCGTTGTGCACGTGCAAACGTAGGGAGACATGCTTGAGTGCGAGAACGGGTGAAATCTCGCACATGCATGCCAAAGGAAATTGCAAGACAAGTTCACACGGTACTTGGTGTGGTTCATGCAACACGCAACCTCCTCTGAGTGTGTGTGCGCGTGTGTGCAAGGACGTTTAGTGAAGAGTGTGTGAAGGAGCTAACTAAAGGGCAGGGCAAGGGAGGCTGTGTTATGAGTGGGCAAGCTAGGACGTCTTACCTCGCTTGAACCGCCAGCCGCGGTTACTTCTCGCTCCTTTTCGGTTAGCAGCTCCGTCATCTCGGTTGATGGCTGATAGACACATACACATAGGATATCAAGTGGTGTGTTTGTAAAAAAAACTACCATTCAGTTATTTTAGCAGCTCAAGGGAGTCGTGCCACTTGATCGGACAACACAAGAAATGTCTTCCATCAAGATACGTTTTAAAATCTCACCTCGTGCAACGGGAAGGCGGCACAAAAAACGCCCTCGTTGACAAGGTGGTCAATGCCCAAATCGATGTCCACCTTCTGGGCAAGCTTGATGTCGCAAGGGCGAGCACCGGTCTCCTTCTCGACATTAATGTCAGCTTCGGTTGGGTACTCGGGTTTAGGAACCGGGGGACCACTTGGAACGCTGGTGCCGCCCACTCTGCGGTACGTGCCGGTCCTCTTGAGCACATAGTCCACCACCTTGGTTCTTTCGGTGGGCGTGAAGAACTTGTCGTAGTCCTCGGGAATGTCAAACCTGAGTGCAAACAATACGAAACAATTTACGTATTTGGCATTGTCAAGGAAGCCGCCAATCGAGCAATAGGCTATGGTGTTATCACTTCACATGCCGACTAATTCTTCGTGCAGCCAACTCGTAGTACTCTCGCTTCTCTTGCATTGCTAATTACACATCGCGTTGGCTTCGACGCAATTTAACGGAGTAGGAGGTGTCCAGCCAGGTGCATTGAGCCACAACTCAGGTACACGTTGAACTTTGATTCAGCGATGCGTGTTTAAGTGGGCGGAAGAGCTTGTCTGAGCAGGTTGTTCCGAAGGTGATAAACACCTGTGCGGCCACATTCTGCTACGCCTTGGTGTCCAAACAAGCACGCACACGCACACCCCCAATGAAGACCTGCACACGCACGCCACAATGACACATCATGCCTAGCGGTGTTGGTGGCGTCCGCTTAAACGTACCTCTGAGGTTCACGGTCACAATCAACAGAGAATGTAAGGAAGAACTAAGAGTTGACGATCATGGGCCAAACATGTTACTGTAATCATCAGTTCATGTTCTCAATGGGATATAGATTTATGAGGAAATTGTGAGGAAATGATGGCTTCCACTGTTTAGTCAAACAGTTAAACCACTTTTGGCGCTGGATTAGTTTAAATAACACGTGTTTGGTGGTCTATAACACGACATTCATGAGAACGAATATAGTTGTTAAGATAGAGCTCAAACAGAACCAGGCACTCCATATGAGCGCATCATTCTTAACTGCCATTCACTTTTAAAATTACCCATTTTAAAGACTGCAATCTGCAGCGAAGAATATATTGCAGGACCACAAGTTATTCGCCTCATTTATTCATACACAAAAGCGATGAGTGTGAATGAGGTAAGGATTCGTCAAAAGCGCCAACTTGTGTGCACAAAACTACCCTTTAAGCAATACCGCTCCGCCAGGTCCCTTTTCACAGGCTGGCGCAACCTCGCTACAGGCTGCCAGAAGCTAATCGGATTGTGTCATCAAGGGTTTGACACTGGAATGCCAATACAACTCACAATCAGAGGTGCAACATAAACACAATCCACTTACCTTGTCAGGTCTTGCACAAAGGCCTTTTGGTGGCAGCTCACCGCGTATAATGTTTCATTGTGGACCAACAAAAACACGATATTTGATTGAGTTGAAGTTCACAGTAAGCTCGTGAGTTGAGCCAAGCAATTAGATGCCACGGCTAGCTAGAACGCCGCCGAGTTAGGCGAGATCTTCAGATCGAAGATATCTGCACGACGTGCGTTCATCTAAACACAGCTGGATGGGTGGATGCTATCTGCGTTTTCAATTCGGAACGAGTGGTGCGGTGGCGCGCATGCTAATTACTCTCAACACCGACGATGCAATAAAATCTTAAGTTTGGCATTGGAGGAGCACGGATTTACGGAAGGCGTGAGACCCCGTTGGCAGTAAATGGTGTCTTCAGTTGAAGAATGCTATACTTAGCACGATTTCGAGTCGTGTGTCGGCATTCCGAAAATTTCGCCATTGTAAAATCAATAACGACAACAAATCGACTTGATTTCTCCCGATCGCCAGCAACAACCAAACCGTCTGCATCGTGGTATGTGTGTGTTTAAAACAGTAAAGAGCACATGTCTAAGGACTTCCTCGCGAAGGGGTTGTTATTATGCCAGTGAATTTGGACCAAAAGACAAGGGGAAAGGCGAGCTAGGGAGGCCTGATTAGGTATCCGCGAGTAACGTTTAACCAATGAAAGCACGCTGTAGGAGCCATCGAGTATCTGAAAGCATTAGATGTCTCTGACCACGGGGAAAAACCTGAGCGTCACAGTCTGTGTCTTGAATCGAGTGAACCAAGAACACGATCAGCGGGAATTTGTACACAAATTTAAGCATGTGAAATCATATGCCTTGGTGTCTATTTGCCTTTCCAGCACAGAGGAAGGAACCGTTACAACGCCACAATCAGAAAATGGAACCCAATTGCACTGTAGCCAATTGAAAACACTTAAGTGAAAGGGATTCACGGGACGGAAGCACTTAAGCTAGCATAGAGCATAAATTACGCCTAATTTAAACACAACCAAATGAAACTCACAGATTAATTCGTGCCCGAGTGAAGGCGGCTCGATAGGGGCTGGGCAGCTCGAGCACAGATTTCTTGTCGGGTTTCAGACATTTGCAGCAGTCCTTGCCTTCGGAAAGCTTGAGACGCTCCAATTTCGCCTAAAAAGAACAGAAAAAGGCCCAAGTGAAGGCCAAAGTTTCGCGTGGTCATGCGACGACACACACGGAAAAGGAGCACTGCGGTGCTTTGACTGTAGGGTACCTGAGGGGGGGCACAAACTAGCACTGCAGAAAAAACCGACAGCTTCCTGCCCAGCCTAACGTACACCAGACAGTGCTTTCATTCTACCTCAAGTGATTCTTCAGGCAAAATCTCGGCACATCGACTCGAAAACCCACATGCCTAGTTTATACATACAGAAAGTGATCACAATTAGCGGAAAAATCAGAGATTTTGTACAAGTATGCGTGTGTGTGTGTGTGTTGGGGCTGCAAAAACTACTTAATTCCACGAAAACACTGCCTGCGAGCTCTAGACCATGGCTCACACAATGCGTGGAATATAGATTTCCAGAAAAAGCGTATTTATAAAATTTATTGAGTGTTTGCTGACTGTGAATGCTGATATAGCAGGTGGAAGTAAATATTGCAGTGTCACACGGAGCCAATCCTGCAAAGAAACCGCAGACATTTGGAAAACATTGTGCCGGTAGACTTTTTAATCCAAATCTTAGTTCGCCGTTTCACCAATTCAACGACTCGGCAAATAATCAGTAGCCACCTTTTTTGCTACTCAAAACGTCTCGATAAGTCCTATAGTTTGATTCCAGGACGTAGATTTCACCGGTGTACCAACCCGTTAAGTTTGTTTAATTGGAGTTGAAGTGTATTGAGGCTCGTCCACACAGAAATCACCACTTCGACTTGCTGACCCGAATAACTAACTCGAAAGTGAGTGCTGTGAAGGCAACATTCTGTGGCCGATAATGTAACGATCTGGTGTGGAGAAAAGTAGTAATAAAGTTACTTCACTTTATCCGAATGTACCGAATTCTGTAAACCCACACAAAATTACCGCGGTGACTCCCTTTTTTCAGTGTTTCGCCAACAAAATGTATCGTACGAAAGCGCAGGTGACTCTTTTTCCCAATCTGGACACACAATGGGGGCTACAAAGCAAGAATCCCAAGTCCGATAGACATGGCGAACATTAGGGCTATAAAAATTGACATAATTTGCCGACAGCCTTGGTTCAGACGTGTGACCACAAGAGTCTGGGATAAAGGACCTCTGTTCCGGCGGTTGTGAGGTCCCACATTAACCGAGTACATCCCGTCATTACCTCCAACAGGTTGCGATTCAAACCTGTGGAAGGGCACTGAATCATCGTACTGCAATGAAGTCGCTTTTGAAAACCAAGATCTCACCACGATTACTAGGGCTGGGGTTTTACAGCTGCATTTTTTAATAATCGATTTAGATGGATTTTTCGCCGACGAGCCATCGACGGTTCAAGCAGCTGAACGATAGAGGAATGGTGTCTCGTGAGGAGGTTTGGAGTCATGGCAACCCATTTAAAGGGCCACGACCTACCAGTACCAGTGGGGCAGCAACTGGAGATGGCACTGGTTCCGTTTACGAGGCGAAAAAAACCAGTGCTAGTGCACAAGCTGGGACTCCGCACAGAAAGCACTTGAGTGCACCGTGCGAGCTGACAAGAGGAGTGCACTCAAGCCACTCACGCAGGCAGCCCAGGCGAAAATCAAATTATGTCAACTGTGGAAAACGAGGCGTCAATTTCGGGAACTTGAATAGCGCAAACACTAGACGCCATGAAAGTGGTTCAAAAGTCTTCTTATCTGTTTGCGCTGCCACATACGCACACGCACGCACACAAATTGCCGCTGTTTACCCTCTTCACTTGTGCACAGAGGCTTGGGTTAATCAGAAAAGTTAAACTTAGCAAAGAACAGAACGACATTTTAGTCCGGTAATTTGGTAATCGAGATGGGAAACTCTAAACGTCTCGAAATGTAACTGAATATGTAGTGTGAGTGGAGCTGGTGAGCGCAAGAAAGTGATGCGCCATGCCGGGCATTCTAGACGTGCCTTTCGGTTTCAGCAGCAAATTGTTTTTTTTAATCACAATAGAGCGTAGAGAATAAGTCGAATGATAACATTCAACTACCACGCAAGGCCAGTCCATTAATGAAACGTGTTCGGACGGGACTCACTGCTGGATTGAAATGAGTAAAAAAATTCCGCTGATAGACAAACTACAAAAATCAACTGCATACCGCCGTTTACCGCTGAGTGAGTCGAGTGGACTAACGTGGAAGCTGTCGAAAAAACAACAGCAGCGAACGCACACACACATGTAATGGTTGAATGCTGGACGAGGACCCAGAGAAAACTGTCAGTTGCGTGGAACAGGCGTTCTGGACTCAGATTTAAATTACATCTGTCGTACAGCGTCAGTCGGGGCTTGTTAGCAACTAATTGACAACGCTTACTTCCCCAGTCTGGTTGCACTTACTAGAAATGTCGATTTTAAGAAATCACTCGTCACTTTTTCTTCCCACCTGGTTATACTTACAACAAAAGGTAACAACTTTGGCATTGATTCGTATCATTTGTGATGAGAGGTCAACAGATGGTTTGTGCTGTGTGTGTGTGTGTGTGTGTAGGGGGGGGGGTCAATGCGATGAGCGAATGTTTGTGCCATCAACGGCGTGTACGACTTCATTCTGCCGGTACGACGTGTCAATAACCTGCGACTCCAAGTGGGTCAATTTAATTAAAAAAAGAACAGTGATTGAAATAAACCCACCTTGTACGACAGTAGAGGACGCGGAGGTAACCTACTTAACTCAAGTGAAACATACGAAACACCCGCACATGTGTGCTCACGGAATTTGGCGAGAGTGTGTGTGTGGGTACAGTTCAATCTTGTTTAAATGTATTTAAAAAAAGGTGCGAATATTGTGTAGCAATAAGAGCATAAAAAGAACTACCACAACTTGCACAAGAGATTAGAGGAGATTGGGAAAAGGTGGTTGGTGAGCTGCGACCGCTTTCGATTTAATCGAAAGACGAAACGAGAAGAAAAGCCCACAAAGAGTCCCAGTTGAGGTGCTTTATTGCCGAAATGGAGCACGCAAAGATGGTACCGAAAAGCTGGAACAATCTCGATGACGCGCTTTTAATCGCACTGCGAGTTCCTCAAAGGAGCAGATTCATATCATGGGGAACATTGAGCAAGGAATGGATGCACAACAGGCACACAGTAAAGCGGGGAACATCGCTTTTGTAATAGCAGCAGCAGCAGCACACCATGGCACGTTTTTTTTGTATTAGTGCAACGAAGACCTGTACAAGTAAGTCTCACATTGCCGAACGTTACAAATTTAAACCACAAAATCACCATCACCGAAAAGAGGACGCGCCAGACAAGTGAGCAGGAAGGAGAAGTTACGCTGCGTAGGCCCAGGAGTCGCCTTTCATATATTTGAAAATTAGCACAACAGTGCCGAAAGCACAAAACTGACCAAGTGAAAACGCTTCACTCATCGCTGGTGCCAAGTAAATCCGGCATTGCGAAACCTCTTTACCACACTCCTGCCTAATCCGCGCTTCTCGGAACGAATCTGCTCCTGCACACACCATAGCAACGCACTCCGAATCCGCTCTCGCAACTCCCACCTGCACCGTTCAAGTGTGCGCTGATGTCTGCTAGTACGACTAAGCGAGATGATGTGTGCAAGTCAGGCAGCTAAAGTGTGATTTGGGTTAGAATGAACTGCTCCTGACTCGAACTGATTTGACTAGCAGTTGCGAGGACCAAGGAGTGTGACTAAGATGGCACGTTCGTTCGCTAATCCGATCATTCTAGCCTCCAACACAGGGTCCCACGTTTTGCAGCATGTCGCCCTCATTAGCACGAACATTTAGCCTGGATTATCCTCACACCTAGGCCTCGATGTCAGCTCATCTACGATTCACACATGACACACGACGGCCGGGTCAAGTCCTTAAATAAACGGTTGACTCTCTGTCCCTCCACAGACCTCATCCTTGTCGGGTAGGTAGCTGTGAATGGCACCGCAACACATGGTTTGGATGGCCATTAATTATGGCGAGACACAAGTGATTGCAATAGATGTCTTAACAGTGCCGGGGATTCGTCGCATTTAGGCAATCATTTTCTGAAACAATGCGTGATTTAACTTGTCAACATAATGCGCCAACTCGTCGATCGAATTACGCATGTAGTGAAAAGAGTTGATAGATTCAGGGAGTAAAATCAATTTCAAGCATATTCCTCCGACTGTGCCGGATCTCAACGCAATAAAAGGGGTTTGTGTTATTCTTAGGAATGGTTTCTTGAGGTAAAATCAGTTACCGTTTTTTGGAAGCCAAATCGATGCCTATTCTTTACACTTTTGGCCATAAAAATGGAACTACCATCTCTGAGCCTTGATCACTTTATTCATCAGTTTCGAACCAAATACACAAAGAAGACGAGCCAATGTAACTGAATAAGCACCGGACCTCTACTGACTTTCGCCCTCTCCCTCTCGTCTCTACAGTGTTAATGGAAGTTCGAGGTCACCGTGCATGGGTACATTCAAATCCACCTGCCGACAATCGAGAGTCATTTAGGAATTTGAAAAGCATTAAAATGCCCCGTTTTACACTGACGTTTCTCTCAAGTGTATTAGAGAAGGTGGTACCAAGCGAAATCGCATTTAAAACGCTGCACAACGAGGGGTACAATACGGGCGAAATGCGAACAAGAGAGTGTGACAGATTGAACGTTTAAAGAAGACTGTTGTAATAGATGGGAAATCGAGGACACAATGGAAGACTAATGGGGCATTGCATGGTGCGGGGGAAAAGATTTATTTGTTCTTCAGTAATTGACCCAGAATCAAAACTGAAAATCGAAATGACAGTCCTCCAAAGACCTCAGCACAAAAGTGTACGCCTAGAAGGATTGACAGCGTTCAGTGACCTACCTCTTCAATACAACTGATTGTTTCGACGGTTGCGCGTGCATGAAGGTAACACGCAAACACACACTTCAGTTTAACACCTCAGCGAATACCAAATACGCAGCTGAGATTTTAAAGCTAGGCATTTTCCCACATTCGGACTGTGTAAAATGCTACTTCTTCGTGAAGTGATTATTTTTGCTCTTGGCTAGAATAATTTAGCCCAATTCGAAAAGGAATCTGTCGGTCCAGTTCACATGCGCACACTGCGTGAGGCCATTAGGGACACGTAAGCCCAGGTGATAGAACGGCGCGGCATTGTTACCGTCCCTCCGTGTGCGTTCAGTAGGATTAAGAAAAAAACCATCCGCCCAGGAGGATCAATGTCTGGACGAGTGGCAGTTCAAGTAATGCCTGCACCTTTCCTCCCCCGATAAAAACGCTCTTCAAGTAGCCTGTTGGAGTCGATTGTGGGCAGCCACCATGGCACGAGATTTCTCTACAAACTCAATCAGTTCCAGCGAATCAAGCTTAGACACGAATAACAGGATTTCACCGCTTTTTACCTCGCCCAATTTGAGCCACAATCTGCGATAAAACAATTTTAGTATTTTGTGCAGGTCCATCGACAAAGCACTTGAGTACTGCACCGCGTGTCCTCGGCATTCATGACTAATTAGTTATGGCCCTGCTATCATAACAAAAATTAGACGGCGACCAGACCCATGAGTGAGCTAAGAGTGTGACCTAAAGCAAACATTGGCAGTTAGTGAAGTCAAAAAGCACTGCACCAGCTTGCATGCCTGCCCTGTATATCAGAGAGGAAATTGCCCCCGACCCTAACTCGTTAACAGAACTGGTTAGCTGTGAATGGAACGCGATGAGGTCCTCCTAAAATGACACCTTTAAGGTTATCTCCACAACCGATACTACTGAATTAGGCCATTATTCAGCAACGGTTTCGGTTGCACACACAGTCTACACAGACATTGTAACTACGATTTTCCTTGAAACGAAGAGTAAAAACATTGATTTAAAGCATGAAATATAAACAGTGAAATCAGTAAAAAATCGGTGGTGTTTGTTAATGGACGTCGATGAGGTGTTCTACTGAAATGGGTTATTTTAGTTAACGAAACAAATTAATGCAATTTTTCATAAATCAAAAGGCCGGATGAAGGCAATAATTTTAAGGAAACGTTTTGACATGAATAGACTTAAAATGTAGTTCAGTCGTGTTAGTTACAACCAGAAGTGCGATTGACAATCAAACGTACAACCGAGATTGGTTGTATAAAAATTGGCGAGCAATTCTACAGTCAGAGAGGTAGATGATGAAACAGAAAATTACATCGACAAGGTTATATAAATATGTGTTTATTCCTCAAGGAATGCTACGTTTATTCTCCTCTGATAGGTTACCATAAAGAGACCAAACGCAAATAGACAACAAATGCTCTGTTTAGAAACGAACCGCCATACACCAACAAAACGTTTAGAATCAATGAATAGCGAGTATTGAGCAAGTTCATTTTAAACCAAGCACTCACCTGTTTCAGAGGCTTTTTGAATTGAAGCACCTCGGCAACACGAGCCAAAGTAGCCCATGAGGCATGTAACTTAACAAAAACAACGTCATCGACAGACATTATGGCCCTTTCAAGAGGGCTTAGCGTTCCCTTCTCTTCTTTTTCCAAGGCTTCAAGTTCCTGTTTGTCAGCATATGCTTGGGTAATTTCAGGAGGACGCAAACCACCAAAACCTGCTTCATCTTTAAAACCTGCCTTCTGAGGGCCTGTGGCAGCCACAATGTTTCCTTGACAGTCTTCAACCTATAGAAACAATTAACTCTGGAATTTAAATGCACTGTAGCAGGTACACCAAACAACCATACCAAATAAAAACTACCCTACTATAGGCCACAAAAGTAAGATGTACCCAATCGTCCACATAAAGGAAGGACTTATGTACTTTTTTGTAGACAAATTTGTTTCTTGGCTTACGAAGCACGTTCATAATTCTAAACTTACAGAATGACTTTACATATTTATATAAAGTGCATGAAAGTGTCCTAAGAGAGGTTGATTACCAAAACCTAAGATGCAACATGGCAAATGCATATGCCCAATCTTATTTTACATTGTTCTGGTTATAATTAATCTGAAATTTATATAAAAAAAGCAGTGTTGGTTGAGGTAAAATGCAAATAAACGGTAATTGCGGTTGTGGTTTTAAAGAAGTTGCCCTTCCAAACAAAAAATTAGGCCACCGAAGGACCACGCACTCTACCAAATACCACATACCTCTATTTCAATCATTTGGTCCGCCAAGGCACTAAGAAAGGCAAAACGCTGGGCCTCGTGATTTTCATTACGGTCCCATAGTTTATAAACAAGCACGAAATCAATGCGTCTCTTCCCGTCACGGAAAAACATTTCCGGGGAGTTCTGAATTAAAAAGAAAAAAAGGCTTAAACCTAGGAAAAATAACAGAAACGAATGTAGAAGGATACAACACCAAAACAAGAAAAAGTGTAGGAATGGACTAAAAAATATAAGCGTAAAGTTAACCGAGACGGAGTTTTAAGAGCTACGTTTGAGATATTGCTAGAAAATATTCAAAGATGAATTGCAATTAAATGCATTATTTAACAAAATAACACATTTATTATATAATAATAGATGGACTAAAAACCTTACTGAATAATATTCGCACCCATCGAGATTAAAGATGTCATCTTCGTCTGCTCCCTGGACAGCACAAATTGTAGCCCGATTCACTAAAGCAAATCGTTACTACCAACATAACTTACGAAAACTTCTGAAGAGACGGTTGTCGACCTTACCACCCATGACACTACCAAAGCAGAGTAAAGGTCAACAAAACTGACAACCTTGAAACCAATTAGGCGCTAGCTAAAACGTTTAGATTCAAATATTTTAAACAAAATCGCACAAGGCAAACGTTAAAAAATTCTGCCTTAAAAAAGTGGCTTGCATGACCAGTAAATGCTTTTTTTAACGCAGTTCTGATTTAATTAAATAGAGCTGAAATAGATAAGGGCGAATAAAGTCACGAACTGTTATATCCCATTTATATATGTAGATGCAAATATTAGGACTTCCCAAAAGCAGCACAAATATAAAATAGACATGACGGTTAGTCTAGGTTGTACAAATATAAAGTGCAAAAGGCTTGCATAGTCCCTCTAAACCATGCAACTCGATTCCGCTCTGACATCCACTTAATTTAATAAGAGATTGCAGTGGTTTTGAGTAGCATAATCCGTCAAGAGTAAACTAATAACCGAAAACGTATTTTGTTTTTTCTAGGGCTTTTGTACAAAATTCTAACATGTTAGTCATTCAACTATAATAAAATAGGCATCTTTTTTCTATTGTCAGTTTGTGATGGTCCATTTTAATTAATGCATTGCACTGCAGCATGATCCCCTCTTAGCCCCTGCGTTGATGAATATTTACGCTTTATGCAACGACACCTATTGATTCTAAATCAGTTTCTATCGCTGACTGAGTCAACCTAAATATGGCTTTGTAGTGATTCGTCTTGATTCATGTCTGCTAATCTGCTTGGTGCAGTCTGGGACACACCGCACCCCATTTAACCCATAAGAGATCATTTACTTTTACATACACGCACCTTTCCGCTAATATTTGAATTTTCGACCATTCAGCTATGTGTATTTTAACTATTTTCCCTATACGTACAACTGCTACAGCAGGCTCACGTACTTACATAGCAAAACAAGGTGAAGAAATCTAGTAGACGATCATACTTCTGCCGTCTTCGGCCTTCAACTTGCCTTTTGGGTATCTGAGGAGCACAAGCGGGTCAAATTCAACTTAGCGGCTCCGGGGTGGTTGAAGCCCACATACCTGTGGCCTTTAACATCATGTTACGCCATTGTTAGCACATTGTCACACAAATTACATCATTTTGATAAAATAAAATACTTTCAGTTTTATTTTAGGCCTTTACCGTCTCCAGCTGCTAGGGTGGATATTTCTTAAAACTTTGCAACACATATTTATCACCAAGATTTTTATTTTAGGACCTTGTCCTGTCGGCCTGTCATCCATTTGCTAATAAAGGGGATACTATGCAAATTTTTTTCATTTGTAGACCGAAGATACTTTCCCCATGAAAAACTGTGCGACCCCGTTAGCCCGAAAATTATTCTATTTGTAGTCAGACTGCGAAAACATACAGAAAATTTCGTCTTCCAAACCAAGATACAAATTTACGCTTTACCTGACCAAAGCAGACAATTTTTGTAATCGATGCAAAGGCTATACACAAATACCTGTTTCACGTCAAACTTCTCCTTGAAAGACCACACATTATTTCTGCAAAAGATAATGCTTCTCAGCACTAACACTGTTGGCCCTGGTAGACCTCCTGATAGGGCCGCAATTGAAATTAGAAGCATAGGTGGATTTCAAACTAGGCGGATTACTAAGAAACTTACCATTTCAATTCAGTTTACATAGCTGAGCGAACTATCGAACTTTTGTTATTGTTATCATTTCACTCGGATATGTCACAGGCAAGCAAAAGTGTCAATCTTTAGCAGATCTACAAGTCCGAACTTTCGGCGGTCGTCGGATACACTAGTTTAATGCTAAACCTATGTTTGTTTACTCCATACGGAATAGCCAGCCTTCTATCTAATCATTTTCCCGTTCTTCGAACCCGCAGTAAAGAATAAATCCAAGGTTTATCTTAAAAACCTATTTGTGCCTAATTTTATTGTGACTTAATTTTACCGGGCAGTATTATGCAGCCATGGTAGCAGAAAGCGGCTATAGTTATTTAATTTGGTTTGTGATGCCAATGTAAGTCGCAGCTACATTATATCACACTAGGAACCGATGGACGAGGAAGACGACAGTGAATTAGAAGCACTTTTCGATAAATGATACAGTCACTGTGTGTGATTCAGACGAAGTGCAATTATCAGTAGTTTTGGCATCCCCAATGCCGATGCTTACATTTAGGATCCTAGTACCCTGCATTGGTGGCAGAGAATGCGTCAGGACACCGCGATTGGAACTCCAACATTTTTCCTTTCATGACACCGGTGGGCAGAGACAAAGGCTTATAACGGGCACTGGAATTTTTGTTCAATTCGTTTAAACTCTTAAATTCCAGGTGAAGTTTTTCAAAGTAATTTCGTCCGATGTCGCAAAATTTCGGAACCCAGAGATCAGGACCACAGCATATTATGAGGCGCAGGTAAGTCACTGGATGTGGATTATGTGTCACCGATGGATGACGCAGCCCTCACAATTGTTTATCGTCTACTTAACTCTTTAGACAGACAGGTGTTAGGTGTCATGAAATTTCGAGATGGAATGACTCCACTTTAATTCTTGGAAAAGCGCAATGATCCAAACAAAAGGGGGGGGGGGTCAGTGAGTCAGCTTAGGAGCCAACCAGAGACAAAGGTGCATGATAAGCACCTAAACAATGAATAATGCGGCCAGGATTTTGGAATCCGATAGGTGGTGACTGTCAGACGGTCACGAGCTGTGGTGTAGCCAAAAGGTCTGCACCTATTGCACGTAATTCCAATACAAAGGCTCTGGTGTTTTATTTTTTACACCGCAGAATAAGTACTCCACGCCAAAGTTCTAGTGATTAGCACTTGATTCAAGAAATCCCTTCCCATTTACGTCAAGTAGCTTGTGTAAATTCGTACATATTGATCATTTCTGTCAACCCCAAGAAAAAGGGATTGAACAAACCAGGACTACCGATGTCGATATTTCATGAAGGCCAGTGAAACAAGAGACTTAATAGAAGTCTTGTGGGCTTAAACAGTTTGAGTCTCACACTGGCTATGCCATTAATCCAATCAATGTTCCAGGTTGGATGATGATCCATCCCATCACCATTAAAGCACAAGCAGACTGGCTTCCAACTTGACTAAATATGCCAGTAGCCTTCATGTTCCAGAGTAGTTTTACTGAATTAGTGCAAATTTACACGCGATAGATGTCAAAATACAGTAAATGTTTCACCCAAGCAAGACCCCAAAGTGATTGCTCGATTGCAACACCAGACAAGTAACACAACAGCCTACTTTATTTTCCTTAGCTGCTGCCACTGAGTCTGGACACCAAAACTCGACGATGAATTCAATGACTTGCGTGCCTCGTCTACACCTTACACTGCCGAAGCACCAAGACACGCTCGGACCAATCTGTATTGGCAATTATTCCTCGATTCAAGATGAACGTTTGTTGCTTAACTAAGACCCCATGACCATCTTACAAAGGTGCACTTCTCGAAAAACAACCACCATCTACAGTAAATGACGTGTCAAGAAAACTGCAACCACAAACAGCCATTATCCAACTTGCTTCATTAAACTACGGAAATCCGCTACGTCCGTCTTATGGTAACGGATACGACTAGCACGCCCCGACCATAGGCGCAACCGGACGCACCAACAGGGCTCACAGCGACTTCAGAAATAGAACGACCACTATCACCCATTCGGTTCTACGCAACCACAGCAATGGCAAAAGAGTGCCTCCAAGTCCCTAGCAAATGTCCAATAAAGCCTGTTGGACTTGGGATACTTGACTCAAAGAATACTGTATTGCTTGTCCTATGTCGGATTTAATTAGACGCCTAACTTCCAGTCGAATGAGCCCACCCTATCGCCAGAGCGGCAATACTTGCGGCAGGGGAACGATAAACTTCACATTCCAATTATGCTATGCCAAAATAAACACCCATTCCAGAATTCTTGACAGGAGCCGACATTATTCATAATTTCATGAACAGCTAACATGGCACTGTGCGCTCGCATCATCCCTTGATTCTAAAACATACACCATTCACCTATCCCAAACATCCCTGAAAGGGACAGATTGGGCAACTAACCTGCGTTGCAAAACACAATGCAGGACGCAATCAATTTTGCACACGTTGACCCAGTCAACCACTGACATTGTGCGCTCCGGCACTGAGTGGCCAACCTTAAGGCGTGTGGCCGGAAAAGGCAGAAAAAAATCTTGGTAGTGACTGTACATTTATACAATTAAATGCACTTGTTAGGAGGATGTTCCGTAATTCTCCACATCCCAAGCCTCTTCAAAAGCTGTACATATTCGGCAGCAGGTTTGAGCAGCGGAAAGGGGGAAACGACTGATGGAAACAACTTCATCCAGGTATTCACCGGATGTTGGGACGATAGAGCCATGGGCCATAGCTCCGATTACAACAACAATGGAATCTGATGTCCCGGACTTGGCCATTTTTGGGACATCAGAAGGCTGCACTTTACGGTCTGCGGAAAACGACATGCCGACTTTCACAGTGCCTGCTGGAAAGTAGCGCGTAATGGGGTTTTTAATAACTCTTAGCAACTTTTCATGGCTTCCTTCCGAGGCATGAATCGATAATTTGTGGAGCAGTTGAACCATCAGACCGCAAAATCGCTCGTAAGTCCGTGGTATACGGGTCTTAGGATTGATTTCAATGATAATGTTCTTCTGAGTCCGTACATAAACCTAAAGATTAATAGAAAAAGGGCCTCATGTGAAGGAGTAGACGCAAAACAAGTGTGAGCTTCATTTCGATTGGAAAGAAGCCATTATTCTCCCTGGATTTTACAGCACAGTGTCCCAGGACAGCGTGAGAACAACCCAGGAATGCAAAACCAAATACTGCCAAGCTAAAGCAAAAGTAATGTCTCGCCTACGACCTTGGTTTGATAAGCAAGTTTTATTTTCCTGGCGTTTCCCTCACTTTCGCATAGCACGATATGAGGATAGACCAGGACATCACAAAAAGAACCCGCCCTCTTCATGGGTAATCAAGCTGTGTGCATACACGTTATAGTATAATAAATGGTACGTCCAGGCTACCTACCTGGAGCATGCCCACTCTGTTTAATGGGCTATCTAGAAGCATTAGCAGGCACTGGTGGGTAATATCGGGGCGGATGGTGGATAAATCCCGACCGGATCTCAGGATACGGTCCTTATGTTTATCCGGGTTTAACAGCTGATATTCCTTACCACCACCCGCCCTGACAGATTCCAAACATGCCTGGTCAAGAACAACAATCAACTTCCGACCCGAAGAGCCGCTTACGTCAGGATCAGCACGCCTCATTATAAATCCAGCGGTAGGGAGACGAGATAAAACAAATTACTTTTTCGAGATCACAGATTCATCCAAAACATTAATAATCTTTTTAAACGAGAGTAACTTCGAAAAATTGTTAAAAAAAAACGTTTAAACTTTGACTGTTTAATTAGTTGGCCATTTAAAACTATAAGACGAAACGTAAATTATTACAAATGGATTGCATAATCATGAATCATTAATCGTAAACTTAATGCCTGTACAATGGCTGATATTGCAGTCCCATTAGCAAAGAAATCACTAGTCATTTCTGTCATTGATCCTTGTATTTGAACGTAAATTTAACACTTTACAACTTTTTGTGAAATAAATCGGTGCGTGTTATGATCGATCAAGTTTTTTTCAACAAATCTTTTAAACACCGAATTATGCTAATTTTTGATTACTTTTGTGTAAATGCATTGTTCTAAATTAGAATCAAGGTTATAGTGGGGTCCAACATGTTCCAAACATAGGCCTATGAGGAGGAAGTTTGAAAATACCTGACACTAAAATATTTCCATATTATAACTCATGTCAAAATAGACATTGGAGTAGTAATTCAACAACCACTTCGTAGGGTTAGGATATTTATCAAAAAGCGCAAATATATTTTCTTCAACAAGTTACTTGCCTCCGCATCATCTGGTGCCATCTAAGTACTACCTTCTATAATTCCTAAAACGCCATTATTTGGCAATTAATATGTCACGGAACGTAAGTATAGAATGCGAATTTTCGCAGCTAAATATCTTAGATGTATGTTTATGATTTACAAAAGATTAAAGTTTGTGCATTTTTAAATAATAAATCGAGCTTTTCCGTTTTATTACGACCCAATGTAATTGAGCTTTAGATTATACATCTGTGATAGGAGCCTTCAGGGGAAATTTCGTTGAGATCCGCAGCGCGACATATTTACATTTTTTTTGCATCCACGTTTTTTTGAAACTTTCAACTAGGCTAACAATGGCTGGCTCTTAGGATGGCAAGCATTTGAATATCATTTTGATCGACAAACGTTACCTGGAGAGTTTAAACCTCCAAATGTGATAATAAAAAGAAATGCTTAACTCACTTTCTTTTTTACGATATAATTTAAGCTTTTTGTGATTTTGTCTAAGTTTTTTATATCTAAAGTTATTGACAAGAATTTATGAAAACCACAATCCATATTTGAAGGAGTCGCTCTAATGAAGCCAAATGCTGCAGCTAATTTCCTGAACATCATTTGGTAATCAAGAACCATCAAAAATAATCATACCAGCGAACATACAGGTTGGTTATGATTGGGTCGTTTGCTATATCCTGCACCATGTCCTACGTGCGTGTCAAATAACACTGTGGCTTTTCTTTTCTCTCCTTAACTGGATAGGCAATTAGGAAAGTTGGGAAAAATTGCAAATTTTTGCGCTTCAATGGCCGAATAACGTGATGAATTTAACATTTATGATAATTTTGTACTTTTGTGGGTAGACGAAAGCCTGTATTGGACAAATTTAGCTGGATAAAGAAGATCAAAAGTTGAATAGCATTGTCTCTTTTGTGTTATGTAAAATTGGCACTTTTAAAATATCTGAACTGAACGACTTAATCTGCAGTCTGCAATAACTGCTTAAAAAATACCTTAATGAATTTCTTGTCAAATATATCAATTCTTAAAGGTTTAATTAAATACTGCATATTTTTAAGAAGAATTTCAGTTCACGTGATACGTCGCTAATGTGTTTCCGCAGTATTTTCAAATCCGAGTCATCAGCATGCTAAACGCAAATATTATTGGTCATTAGAAGGTCCAGCTAAACACCATTGTTACCATTTATTTTTTACTATGACAATAACTAGCAGGTTTTTTACACTTATGGTGAATATATTTTCATTTTACTTTCATTCCCGCTTGGGTTACTTCAGTCTAGTAATCCAATTTTAATTAATGCCCAATGGATATCTGCAATAATCTGACGAAAAAATCAAGTTAAATAAGTATATAATATGTATTTTACAATTAACAGTAATGTGGAATTTTTAAAAAGCAAGATATTGTAAAAAATCACAGTTTTATTTTTGCAACTCTAATGTTTTAATACATAAGTTGCATGCCCTTTCTTATGATTCTCATTGGTCATTTTATCCCACAAACGAAGTCGGGCGTCTGATTGGTCGTCCGTTGAGGTCAACCTTTGTTGGTGTCACTTGCTGTGCCGATTTTCCCGATAACGGGATTCCGCCGTTGTTAGGTTCGTAACGATTTACCTGAATTATGTTTTTTGCAAAAATTTTTTAGTTTCTAGTAGTTAAACCTTATTAACTGTCTTTGCAGGATTCTGAAACATTTTTTCTCACATTGCCACGTGGTAATTTTTTCCCCATTTTTAGTTTCTGATCGCCTCTGACTTTGTAATTTTTTGAGATTCTGTTCCATGTACCCTTCTTTTTCAGAACTTTATAACAGTATGGATGAATTTGTTTAATATTCACCGATTCCTTAAGTATTTATTCTGTTTACAGTCGTGGTAGTCGTAAGACCTTATTTTATATTATTTTTAACGTATCATTACTCGTGATAGAAAAGTTGACAGTGAATATGAGGTGGTATATTATCTTTTAGTGAACATTGTGATGTCAAAACTAGTCGACTCAACTTGAGCAATTCGAAATAAACTTTTTTCATTTTTATACTATAGTTGGCTCATGGTTACTTTGGCTTTTGGATCACTCAAAAATCGTTTTTTCCTTTAATTAACCCTTAAAATTAAAAATTTGCCCTGAGTGTCATCCTTTTACGCTTGGAGCTTATTTACTATTTCTAAATTAGAGGACCATCCATTTTTTGTGTTTTACCAATTTTAAATATACATTCATACACCCAAACAAGTTAAAATTTCATACACAAACAAACATTTACTGTCACATACGCTGTTTAGCGAATTTTATCATATCACAGGTGTAATTTGGCCACCTGTTCACTTTTTTTTAAATCCTCGGTTTTTTCAACTTCATTTCTGCTAGTATTTTGCAAGGTGTATGTTTGCGCCTTGGCAGATTATCGTTTCGTAATAATAGCACCGCCTCTTGATTCACTCGAATCAACAAAAATATATGCGTATTCGCTTGCTTAGTTCAATGAAGCTTGAATGCATCATTATCATAAATAACACCACTATAAGCAATAGTGGCTATATGCGTCGAAATTGATCTGGTAAAGTGTATTTATATAGCCGTTATCCTAATAAATAAATATTACAAAAATAAGTGTAGTAAACAGTAAATATATGAAACAAATAGAGTTCTTACCCCCCTTTAAGTAACCCTTAAAAATTAAAAAAATGTGACCTGAATGTCATATTTTTACGTTTACCGTTTATTAATTAATTATAAGTTAGAGGAGCGCCAATTTTGTGTTTTCCCAATTTTAAACGTCTGGTTGAATTCATTAATTTTTTAGCATCCGATGATATATATGCTTTGGTTTTCATGCCATCTGCACAATATTCATTCTAGTAACGTGTATTTATATTTAAACGTGTTTTGCGGTCTGGAATTTTCTAACCAGACCATTGTGACTTGCTACGTTTAGATGATGCAAATTAAGCACCATGTTTTGAGTTTTGGGCGTATAATACTTTGGTTTTCTTTTACCTTTCTGAAAGACTATGATGTAGTGGTAGTGTTTTTTGAATCAAACTTTTTGAATCATTTGCATATTTTATGATTTTAAGGTGTGTTGAATTCAAACTTGAGAGAATGTTTGCCTTGATTATTCATGTAGATGGTCTGAAGTCATTATTGGTAATTCATCCCCTTTACAATTTCCAGTAGCAAATCAGCCTTCTACTTTTTGGAGTTTTGCTGCTACCAAGTTTGCATTAAATTTTTGCCAAACGCTTGTATATTGTTGCAGAACTGTTTCCTTAGTTGTTTTTTTTTGTATTCCAGTTATCAGCTCTTGATTTATGGCCCATACTTTCAGAAATTTGCAGGGAAATTTAGACTAAGCTGTTTCGATGGTCAATATGGCGCCTGCAATATGTATCTATGTATTCATAGGTCACACAAAAAAAAACCGCCTGCATATAACATATCCAGAAAATGAAAGATGTTTCGCCCTCTAGACCCCTTCAAAGTCACTTTCAATTCGATGATTTGTAACCAAGAGGAAAGAGGACGACTGCGTGTTGTGCACGCGAAATGTGCATT